GTAGCTTTTGAATTTACATTATTCTTTTAGACGAGAAATTTTTCAACTTCTTGGAAAAACAATTTCGCTTAGTTTAAATAAAATTTCTGTTCCTCAATTTTAGTTATTTGATTGCTGTAAAATTAAAATGCAATTTCTACCACATGAAGTTCAACTTGATGTATTAAAATGTTTTAATTTTAATCAATTAATTTCTTTTAAATTAACAAATGTTTACTTTAGCAATTTAATTAAAAAATATGAGGGGGAATTGGCAAGAATGAAATTCAAAGGACTTTGGATAGTAAATATTTATTAAATAAATATTTTTTTATTTAAATTAATTTTAGTTGAATAATAATGATTTTCGAGGATTTAGACACATTAACCGTCAATCTGGAGCTTTCGAATTTACTTTAAATGATCAACTTTTGAATAAGGTTAAATTAATTTGTAATTAAATTTAAATTTTTTTCAGTGGCAAGCAACGATATCTAAATCAATTCCGTTGTTTTCACATGAATTTGGCAGAAAATTATTCTGTATAAGAATGGAAGGTTTGAAACAATTACCGTAAATACTCGAATTGAAGCCCTGGGCTTATATTTTTCAATGAGTTTCCTCAGATGGGCTGATTTTAGAGGTGGGCTTCGGTAATATTGAAGCGTACAGAACCCATTTTTTCCTCCCCAATTTTCTTCCTATATTTTTACAAAATGGTCAGACTTTTCCTTTCTTCCATCCAATTTGCCTTTCTAATTTTTGCCTACAATCAAACAAAAAGGGTAAGACTTCGGCTCATGAACACAACAGAACTTATATTTTTCTTGTATAAAATTGTGTAAAAAGGTAAAATATCAGTATAAAAGTACTCAAAATGGTCCTCTTGTGCATTTTTCCCGGATTTTCAGACCCCTGAAAATCCGGGTACCATAGGGGGGAGTAAACTGTTTTTTGGGGTCAAAAATTCGAATATGCAAATAATAGCTCATTCGAAAGGGCTCGACGAGCTGAGTTGAATGACACCAAAATCAGATCGATTGGAAGATTATGAACAAAGTTATGACCAACAGAATCTTCGCTGGAAAAACTGTTTTTGTGCTGCTACGGAGGGTAGGCCGGGCATGGTCTTCGCTACACGATGGCCGTGTTTCGCTGCGGTCGTGCTCGCTACGCTCGCGGCGACCGTAGCGAAGCGGCGGCCGTCGTTCCGCTCGACATGCCCGGCTTCCTCCGCAGCGGCAAAAACTTTTTTCCGCGAAACCCTTGTGGAAGGGGTTAAAACATCGGTCATAACTTTGTCAAATGACGTCTGATTTCATTGATTTTGGTGTCATTCGACTCAGCTCAGCGAGCTCTTTCGAATGAGGTATAATTTGCATATTCGAATTTTTGGCCCCAAAAATCAGCTTGGTCCCCCCTATGCTTTCCGAATTTTCAGGGGTCTGAAAATCCGGGAAAAATACAAAAGAGGACCATTTTGAGCACTTTTATACTGATATTTTATCTTCCCACACCTTTTTATACAAGAAAAACATAAGTTCTGTTGTGTTCATGAGCCGAAGTCTAGCCAAAAAGTATTTTAGAAAAACAAAAAAAAAAGTATTTTAGTCTGACCATTTTGTAAAAATATAGGGGAAAATTGCGGAGGAAAAAATGGGGTCTGTACGCTTCAATATTACCTAAGCCCACCTCTAAAATCAGCCCATCTGAGGAAACCCATTGAAAAATATAAGCCCAGGGCTTCAATTAGAATATTTACGGTATATGTAAATTTTACTCAATTTATGAGTAAGTTAGACATTAATTTTTATAACCACAAATTCCTATCTCAAAATAATTTAATTATCAATTTAGTAGACGAAAATTATATTTTAAAATTGCCAAATTTTCAAAAAAAAATTGAAGAAATGATTTTTGTTCGTTGCTGGTTGGAAAAACTATTTAAATGTGGTTTTGAATTTGTCAGTTTTCCCAAATGTGTATTTAATCCAGAAATGATCAATATTTTATTTGATAACGACAAAACAATTCCTCTTAAATTTCACACAAAAAAAGCAATTTTATGGACTACCGACAACACTATTGAAAATGTTTTAAAATTTTCTTTAAATCATTTATCAATTTCTGAATTACTTGAAATTAATTTTGGAGATACTAACATTACAGAATACACAAATATTTTATTAAATATTTTAATAAATGAAGGCAATAAATTTCCAAAAATTGAATTTATTAACTCCAAATTAATACAACTTTATGATCTTTTTATAGAGGTGTTATCTTTTATATTTAAATAAAAATAAATTTTAATTTTAGTATATAGCAACATCGAAAAACTGTTCAAAAATTGTACCTGCTATTACTTTTGTTTTTCCTACTGCCCCGAATTTTAAATTAAGTGAAAGGGCAGAAAAAGTTGAAATTGAGCAATTAAATGATAAAAAAATTACAAAATACCAAATTGGCAATATTCACAATCCAGATATCAGATTTTCATTTTGCAATAAAGTTTATGATGGATCGTTTACTCACGTTAATATCGAAAAAATACAAGAGTGAATTTGAGAAGAAAATTTTATTTAATTTATTGGACAACAAAATATTTTTTTGATTATTGGTTTCATCGATTCTCGTATAAAAAATGTGTGCTATTCATTTTTATAAATTTTAAATTAAGTGAATTTATTCATGAACTTTGAAAGGATTTATAGCGGTTTTTATGTGACTTTTATTAAATGATAATGTTACATTTTTAATATTTTCCAAACAACTTTAGTTCAAAATAAGATTAAACACTCCCATTTATAATGAGATAAATTATCTCTATTTGCTTTCAATCGAAAATCCTTTTATGCATTAGATCAATTCAATTTTGGATTATTACTCTTTTCTCTATTTATTTTTCTATTCAAAAAATAAAATGTCATTTCTTTTATTTTTCCGTTTAACCCGATTTTTCCTTTTAAGAATTTTTCATTTTATTAAAATCTATATTAATTACCTAAAAATAAAAAATCCATTAATTTATTTAATTTTAATATTTTTAATTTTATTTTCAATTAATTTTTTGTCGAATTTTCAACAAAAACATTACTTCCCTCCCCTCCCATTTTGTGAAAAAAATTCTTTAAATTATTTTTATAAGGTTTGGAAAAATATTTTTCTTTAAATTTAAATTTTTAATATTCAAGATATATTCTCTATCAGAATATCCTCAACCAGACCCAACTCCTTTAAATTGGATAAATATTAAATTTAAATTAGAGCCTTCAATAAATTCAATATCATTAAATTTGTGTAAAATAAACAAATTTAATTATTTTTCAAGTTTATTTGTTGTTGTAATTTCGAAACTTGAGCATTTTAAACGTAGAAGTTTGCTGAGGGCACAATTTAAAAATAACGGTAATGTTTTTGTTAGTTCGTAAAACTTGGTTATTAAAACTTGGAATTTGTAAACTTAAAGATGGGAGTTGTTGAATTCTAAAACTTGAATTTACAAATTGTAAAACTTGAAAACGGGATTGTAAAATTGTAAAACTTTTTTTGGAATTTGTAAAATTGTGAATAAAATAAAAAATAAAATAAAACTTGGAATAGTAAACTTTTAAAACTTGCTAAAACACAAGTTTGAAAGTTGGATTGTAAAACCTAAAATCTCTGGATTGTAAAACTGAATTTGTAATTTTACAACTTTAATATTTATATTCTCCTTCTCTCAAGGTATAACTTCTTTTATTTTTGTACTTGCTGCTGCTAATGCTAGCACAGATATCATTGAAGCCATTCACACAGAAGCTAATAAAGAACAAGATTTACTAGTTTTAGCTAATTTGGAAGAGAATTATCGTCTTTTAACTTATAAAACCCGTGCTTGGCTACAATGGTTGGTGGATAAATTTGATGAAATTTGTGGACCCCCTCGTTTCCTTCTTAAAATAGATGATGATGTTATGGTACTCGGAATTTAAAAATTAAATTAAAAATATTTTTATTAGGTCAATTGGAATGCTTTATCACGTCTTTTACATAGAGCAGGCCCAAACCCCAAAAAATTACTTTTTTGCCGTGCAATTCCTAATGGGCAAATTTCACGAAATCCGGCTTCCAAATGGTTTTTGTCGAGTAAAGAATATAAAAGAAACAAACCTAGAGGGCTTGGATTATATTGTCAGGGTATGGCAATTTTACTGAGTGGAGATCTACTACGCCCAGCTTTAGCAAATACAAAGCTTGTACAATATCTTTGGGTAAAAATTAATTTTTAGAAATTGCCTAGATTTAATTAGATGGATGATTGGTATTTAACACATGCATTATTATTTAATACAAACGTTACTTTTGTTGATATTGCCCCACAAGTACAAAGTATAGACGAGGAAACGAAGTTTAATATAAAAGATGTTGGCCTCTCTTTAAATGTTTATTATACCCCTATATTTGCGCATTTTAGGTAAACATAGAGAGAAAAACATTTAAAAACATTTTGTTTATAGACCAGCCGAACATTTCCCACAAACGAGAAAGTTGAGAGAGTGGAAGAAAATGTTGGATATTAAACCTAAGTCAACAAAAACATGCATACTTTAATGTTTTAATGAGTTATAAACAATGTTTTTGTTTGTTTTAATTTAAATTATTGTTCGATAAAACAAGTTTATTTTTTGTAAAACAAGTTGTATTAAAATAAAGTTCAGTAAAAACATGCTCTAATTATAAACTTACAAAAACAAATATAGTTACTATCTGATTGATAGTAAAGATACCAGAAGTCCAAGGTACCCACTGTTCAAAATTGTCGAACAAGTGAAACCCTAGTATAATTCGATTCGGATGAATCAAATCTGATCGCCCATTTTCTTTTCTTCTCTAATCCTAATGAATATTATATCATTCGAAAGCCCTCGATAAGCGCTATCCTTCTCCAACTGGATGAATCAAATCCTTAATCCCTCATAATTCCCCAAATCCATCGATATCCTCTTAATCCCTTCAATTGCACTGTATTATAAAAGCCATTTAAATCTCCCTCCATTTTAATCTCTCTAAACATCAAAAAACTTCAACAAAACACCAAAAACAACGTAAAACAACAATGAGTGCTCCACCGCCACCCGAGCCGCCAAAGAAGGACGACGCACCGCCGCCACCAGCTGCTCCTCCTGCTCCACCGCCAGCGACAGCGAAAGCACCGAGTGAGGCATCTACCAAGAAGAAGGGAAAATCTGCTGGATCTCTGCCACCGCCGTCAGCCAGTCCAAGCGGTGCAGCTATTGGTCTTCGGCAAGTTGAGGTTCAAAGTTTCAGCGATATTCGTCCGGCGTTGCAGAAATGGCTCGATGGTCAGGATAAGCTGTTCGGAGCGGCTGAGAAGAATACCGGTCTTGAACGTGAAAAGGTGAGGAAGAAATTTTTTTGAAGTTTTTCTCATCCACTTTTCTTTTTTAGATTTTCTATGCCATCTGCGGTTTTCTTTTCCTTTGGTTGCTTGCTGCTCCGGGTGCTGGTCTCATCTGTAACTTGATTGGTGTTGTCTATCCTGCCTATGCTTCAGTTGTTGCTTTGCGTTCGGCTGGGAAAGGTCTTTAAAAAATAATTTCTTACATTCAAAGTAAATTCATTAAATTTAAGAGGACGACACGCAGTGGCTCGTGTATTGGACTACCTATGGAACCTTCTCTCTTGTGGATCAATTCGCCGACCGCATCACTCCCTACTTTCCGCTGTATTGGCCGCTCAAAGCGCTCTTCCTTCTCTACTTGTATTTGCCTCAAACTTATGGAGCGCAGAATATGTACGTCAAGTACCTCGACCCGGCGTTCGATAAGTTGGCGAAGTGAGTCTTTTTTTGAAGGAAATTTTTTTGAAAAATTTTTTTAATTCGATAATTTTTAGACGAGTGGCGGGAATGTAGAAGTTTGTTCGATGCGCTTGGATGTTGATGGTGGATGCAAAAAAGAAGGGGGAATAAAAATGAATAAAATAGAAAAATGTATTGATAAATAATTATTCCCCTACATAAATAAATATATTTTCCTTCTGCCTATTGTATGTATTGATATTATTGATAATATGTGTATGTATATTATCGTATTTTGTTGTATAAAAATTTCTGTAGATTTTTTTGAGAGTTTATTAAGAGGTGGGAAATATGGGAAATCAGTGGATTTGTATGGAATCGGGATTGAGTTAAAGGATTTGGGGAGATTTGGGCTCCCACCGTCCCCGTTAAAACAGCCACTTAACTGTAAATATTGAACTTTGAAGTGCTTCAGTAGAATTAAATTCACTTTATTTGGCGGAAATTTGACTAAAATATTCAATTCTTAAGAAAAATCTGAAATAGGCACAAAAAAGGTCGAAATAGATTTTTAAGCTTTAATAACTCAAAAATTAATTTACACTATGCGGAGAAACCTTGTTTTTACAACATATTTCATTAGCGCTGATCGTAAAAAAGTAGGTAAAAACTTACAAAAACAAATAAACTTTTTAGTAAACAAACTTTTGTCTGAATTAAAGTTTTTGTTTAAATATTTTATAAATAAATTATTAAAATGGAACTTGTATAATAATTGTTTTATTAACAAACAAACTTGCTCTTATTTACAATGTTCATTCTGTTTCCCTTGGAAACGGAATGAACTTGAAATGAGGGGAATTGTTAAATTGGGGGGTTGGACACAAGTCTTTGCAACAAGGGCCAAGGACAATTACGATTTTTTATGAGGCGAGGGGGTTAGCTATTATTATTTTGTGGCGGCTGGCACTAGCCATGCTTTTTTTATAATAATAAAAATATAAAAATGTTTCTAAAAATATTTTTATTTATTTTTGTTGTTAAAATGGATTGATATTTTTAATTTAAAATTTAATTTTTAAAATTTTTTATTAGCCTCGAGAAAAAAATAATAATGCATATTTCTATTTTAGTCCTTTCTATATTTGTATTAATTAATCCTAAGCCTTTTCTTAGTTTTCTTTTTTATTTTAACCATCTTTTGCATATTGCTATTCTAATTATTTTTGCTATATATTAACTTTTAATCTTCTCTAAATATTTAGAGAGTTTTCAGAAAAAATATAATCTTTTAATCTTAAAATATTTTTTATGATACTAAAAAATTTATTTCCATAATTTCCCAATCATTGTCTATAATAATAATGAAATCAGAAAGTGAAACATCATTAGATAATGAAGCTAGACCAACAAAAGCAGAATTAGTCCAACTTGTTAATCAGGTTGGTACGGGAAAGTTTATACAGTATATTTAAAAATAATGAAGCATTCTTTCCGAAAAGTGTTAAGTCTATTTAGTTTTCCGGAAAATACATTTATTTTAAGTTGTTTATTTATTTCTTTTTCCGGAAAACACAAATTATTTCCGACGAACATGTGTTTTAAGAAGGATGTTTTCCGGAAAATACATATGTGTTTTTGTATGTATTTTCTTCAAATATTCCGGAAATATATTTATTCCGGAAAATATATATATTAATCCGGAATATATAATCCGGAATATATATTCCGGAAAATATATATGTGTTTTTGTATGTATTTTCTTCGAATATTATATTAAATTCCGGAAAATACATTTCTTTTAAAATCTTTTTCCGGAAAATATAAATGAAATATTTTCCGGAATAGTTTTCGAATAATTTCCGGAAAACACTCGTCTTATATGTATTTAATTTTAATAATTTAAACAGTTTCTCATTCAAAACGATTTGCCAGTAACAGCTGCCGCTTTACAAAAAGAATGTGAAAAGTTGCTGGGAGGCAGGTGGAGTGGTCATAATTCGAATGTCACTCGTAGCGGTCGCTTTCGCAGGCATACGACGGTAATACCTAATTTGGATGGCGACGCGTGTTTGGCAGAATGGTTGAGTGATAGTGGGGCTGTTGGGGTTTGTGTTTTAGTTGAAAAAAAATTTTAAAAATTTTTTTTGAATTATTTTGAATAATTTTTTAGACCCCTTCAGCTTCCTCTCCAAACGAAATGACCAATTCCTCATCAAAATCCTCACCCTCTCGTTTACGTAAACCAGCTAAAACAACACCATTGAAAAAGGGACAATCTCAAAATAGCGAAAATAAAAATGAAAGGAGCCAGCAAAAGCAATGTACCAGTAGCCGTTCTAGTCAAATTTCTCCAGCTCCTTCCCAAAAAAGAGCAAATTCTCGTAATAAATCGAAAAATATAAATGAAGATTTAAATATTGCTTCAACAAAAATTGAACAAAAACAGGGAGGAAAAATTAAAAATATTTTGAGGAAGGCTGATTCTGTTGGAAATATTTCTGTAAATGAAAATTCCCCAAAACAACAACAACAGGTTTAATTACCCAAGTTTAAGTTTAAGATTTGACAATGTCCAAATCGACAAAGAAAAGACAAAAATCACTAGAAAGTTCTGAGGATGAAGGCAATATAATAGAACAAAGAATAGATCGATTGGAAAAATTAGTAGAGCAATTAACAACAAAAATTTCTAATATTGTTACTCCCTTGACAACATCAAATAAAAAAAATAATACTAATGAAATTGTATTGACACGTATTGAAAAAATTGAAGAAAAAATATTAAAAATTGAAGAAATTTTAACACGTATTGACAATAATAACAACAACACAACTTCCCAACCATCATGGGGTTCGCCTATTTCTGCCCTAAGTCCTCCACCTGACCTTGTTATGAAACTAATATCTTCAGCAGCATCTAATGGGGATCTTCTCAAGCAAAAATCATGTAGAGCTGTTCTAGAAAAACTACCTGAATCTATGGATGAGAAGGAAGTGGTAGGAAAAATTATTGATTCTATTGGACTTACTAATGAATATTTGCCAGAACATACACACCGTCACCCACAAAACAAAAATATGTCTAGCGAAATAAACAAAAAACCAAAATTAATTAAAATTTCTTTTAAAAACTCTATTTCGCGTGACAAATTTTTGTATTCTTTTAGAAACACTTTGCGTAAAATACATTCCCTTCCCCAAAATCTTACTGTTCGAAGGGATATGATCCCGGCCGAATTAGCAATATTATATTCACAACGGTCTAAAGCATATTCACTTAATGCTTCATGCAAACTTTTTAAATATTATGTAGTTGACCTACAAATAAGGGAGTTACGCGAACCTAAACCTCTCAATACTAAATAGGATAAATTGAGTAAACCCCGAAAGTCAAAAAATTCTAACATTGATATAGATATAAAAAATTTAACATGCCTTTGCTTTAACAGCAGATCACTAAATAATAAAGTGCCTGATTTGCAACATTTTCTTGAAATACATAACCCTAGCATTTGTATGATTACCGAAAGCTGGCTTACTCAATCTAATTGTATAAAAACAGATTTTTCAATGGGTGATAAATATCAGTGTTACTTTGCAAATCGTCCAAATAAAAGGGGAGGTGGCTGTTGTCTTTTAATTTTATCAACTATACCTGTCAAACTTTTGTTCTGTGGGACAAAATTTGGTTGCGAAATTATTATTATTGAGATTCTAATTACCAAACCTACTATTGTTATTACTTTATATAGACCCCCATCACTTAATCAATCTAGTACTAATAAAATACTTAAATATATTGCTGACTTAAACCATAAAAACTTAATAATAGCTGGTGATTTTAATATTAACACAATAAACTGGTTAACAAACTCTTGTTCAAACGATAATACTACACAAATATTTATTGAATTTGTTAATCGCACCCAAATTAAACAACATGTTACATCACCTACTCGCGGCGATAATATCTTAGATCTTGTATTTTCGAGACCCCATGACTTAGTTAGAAATTTAGAGATCACTGAAAATTTTTCAACATCTGATCACAAATCCTTAAAGTTCAATCTTTCCTTATGCACTATGCGTATTCCAAAAAAGAAGATATATATAAGAAAAGTAACAGAAAAAGGTTTCTCCAAGTTAAACATAGAGCTAACACAACTTGATTTTATAAAATATATGTCTGACAAATATGCAATCAATGAAAAATATAATTCTTTTACTGAAATACTATATTTTTATTATGATAAATTCATACCACTTAGGACTATAAATACCATAATTAAAAACGAATATCCACAAAAAATCCGATCTCTGAATCAAGAAAAACTAAAATTACACAAAACCTTGAAGGAATCTCCTAATTCTAATCTAGCAACAAAATATAAAATTATCTCACGACAACTTAAAATTCAATTACAAAAATTTCATTATAATAAGGAGAACACCATTATATCAAAAGGTGCAAATGCAATTCACAAATTTATTAAAAAGAAACTTAAAACAAACGCATGTATTGACGCATTAATAGATAAAAAAGGAAATATACTTACAAAAGATCAGGAAAAATGTGAGTTACTTGCAGAAAGTTTTCAAAGTAACTTCACTGATAAAGAAACTCAAAGTCAAGAATTTATTGACGTCTACTCTCAAAATCCTAACTCTAATTCACAAAATCTTATCAAAGATATAAACTTTGATATTCTGCAAATTCTAGATTTACTTAAAAGACTTCCAAATAGAAATTCAACATCACCAGATCAAATACCCTATATATTATTAAAGAGATCGTGTGATCAAATCGCACAATATATTACAGAAATCTTTAGACTAATATTAGATAGTAAAAATATACCCGACATTTGGAAAACATCAATTATAGTACCTATACATAAAAAAGGAATAACAACAGATCCAGAAAATTATAGGCCAATTTCCCTAACTTGTACATTATGTAGAGTTTTTGAAAGAATCATAGCTAATAATATTATAGAATTTTTACATAATAAGGATTTTTTTGATAAAAATCAATTTGGTTTCCTCAAATCAAGATCTACTACTACACAACTTCTAACAATGTTAGAAGATTTTTACAATGCAGTAGGTAACAATCAGAATATAGATGTAATTTATATCGACTTAAAAAAAGCTTTTGACACAGTTCCAATAAATTTATTACTTACAAAAGTTAAAAATGCTGGTATATCTGGAAAAATTTTTGAATTCATAAAGCATTTTGTAACAGGACGATCCTACCGTGTAAAAATAAATGACTCGTTTTCAAGATCTTTTCATACATATTCAGGTGTTCCCCAGGGCAGTGTTTTGGGACCTATTTTATTCACAATCTTTATTAATGATTTCCCTGTCAACCTTCCAAAAGAAATAGGCTATAAAATATATGCAGATGATATAAAGCTTTATATTTCACATAATAATGATTCTAATATTAATTATCTTAATGAATCAATAACAATATTACAAAATTGGGTTATATCAAACTTTTTAGAAATATCAATTAAGAAATGTGTAATACTTTATATAGGAAAAGGAAACCTTAAACAGGAATATAAAATATTTAATCAAACATTAAACACATCAGATTGCGTACGAGACTTAGGTATCCTAATTGATAACAACTTAAAATTTAACAAACATATTGATAAAATAGTTAAAAATTCATACTTTATAACTTATCAAATACTAAGAATATTAAAAACTAGAGAATTTAAGACTTTAATAAATGTATATAAATCTTATATTCGTCCTCAACTTGAATATGCCACTGAAATTTGGAACCCAAACAGAATTCTTCAAATTAATAAAATAGAGCGAGTACAAAAATATTTTACAAGAAGAGCATTAAAAATCACAGGAATAACGCCACTACCTTATGAACAAAGACTTAACAAATTCAAACTAAAACAACTAAGCCATCGAAGAAAAGTAGCCGATCTTGTAATGGCGCACAAAATTATTTCAAAACAGACGCATCTAGACCCACAAAAATACTTTGATTTTGCAGTAAAAGCTAAAAGGAAAATATTTTGTTTAAGGAACAAAAAGTTTAACGGTAAAACTAGAAATAATTTTTTTAATAGAATCATAAATAACTGGAATAGCTTACCTAATGAAATTTTACAAACATATAATTCGCAAAAATTTAGAGTACTTGTTAATAACTTTATAAAATAGAGGTTTTAGTTCGCAACTCCCTTATCCTCCTAGATTGACATTTTTTTATAAATTTATTATGACATTTTCTTATAGTATTTTAAAAATTTATTTTTTATTTTACCACTATAATTGTACTTTTTTATGTACTTTGTGGTTTACTCAATAAATTAAATTAAATTAAAAATTGAACAAAAACAGGGAGGAAAAATTAAAAATATTTTGAGGAAGGCTGATTCTGTTGGAAATATTTCTGTAAATGAAAATTCCCCAAAACAACAACAAACTTCTTCCCCTCCTCCTGATCCAATACACTCTTCAAATGTTTTTAATGTTTTATTTTAAAAATAAAATTAAATTTGTAGCAAACAACAATTACAGAAGATATTGTAGAAAATAAAAATTGGCTTTGTGCTAATTTAGATTTATCTCTTATTAATAAAGCATTGTTAAGACCGAGTGTTTCTGGAGGGAGAGCAAGTGCTTTGTTGTTACAGGCTCTAAGACAAGTTTGTCTATGTTTTAGAGCTTGTGTGATGTTTGTTTAGTTGTTTTGTTTCTCTTATGTTTGTTCGTTTGTTTTCAAGTCTTGTTCGATGTTTATTTCCAAGTTTTATCGATGTTTGTTGTTTTACTTGTTTTTCTTATGTTTTAAACTTTCTAAGTTTATTTTTCTGTATTTGTTTATTTCTTTGTTTGGTGTTTCTTTTCATGTTTGTTTTCTCTTTGTTACTAACGGTGTTGTCTAGCGTTATTGTCTTTCTTTCTATTGTTTATTGTTCCAGGTATTTGTTGTTTTTATCTATGTTCATGTCTTCTGTTCGTTTCCAAGTTTATTTAATTGTTTTTCATGTTTATTTAAATGTTTATCACCTCCATTTAAACTCCAACTTCATAGATGCTCACCAAAAATACCATTACCGACGGAGATTCTAATTTATCAGCATTAATAGCAAAAGATTTGCTTCAATTACGTTCTCGGAAACAGGTGTATAATTAAATAAAATATTAATTTTTATTTAATTTCCATTCAAGTCAATAGCATCCGCTCTCTTTCATGACGATACTACTTTAGCAGCAGATTATGTTAGAGAACAGTTAGCAAGACTTTTGAATGTTTTTGCTTCATTTAGAAAGGGAAGGGATTATTTGTTATGTTCTACTAATTTAAATAATAATTCAAATTCTAATTTTGGACAAGGGCGACAACAACTTATTTATGAATGTAGTCAAACATTAAAGGTAAAAACATGAAAACTTGAAACATTTCACAAAACTTGAAACATTTCACAAAACTTGAAACATTTCGCAAAACTTGAAACATTTCACAAACTTGAAACATTTCACAAACTTGAAACATTTCACAAACTTGAAACATTTCATAAACTTGAAACATTTCGCAAAACTTGAAACATTTAATAAACTTGAAACATTTCACAAACTTGAAACATTTCATAAACTTGAAACATTTCACAAACTTGAAACATTTAATAAACTCAACAAGCTTAATTCCAAACTAAATCAAAAACTAAAAACTTTTTCCTTAGGGAAACAGGCGTCCATTACTAAGCCCTAACGCTTCAGAACAATTATTAGCAGCCTTACAAAAATTAAGTATTCGACCTTCTGCACAACGAGAATTGTTAATTAATGGCATTTTTGAGTGGATATGTACCCAATTGAAACAACAAAAATTAGGGCAGGCTGGGTTGGAATTTGGGGTTGCTTTGCTACACAATCTTGTTGTAAACCCAATTTCTCATTCAATTGCTGTTAGACATAAAAAGAGACTTTTGGAGACTTTAAGAATTTTGTTAGGATCTGCTAGAGGTGGACAGGTTGAAGGAAAAAAGTTAAAATCTCTGTAAAATATCCACAATTTAAAGGCATTACAGTACACTTGTTCAACTCTTTATATTCTCCTTTGCCTTCCACAAATGAGAAAAACTGCTAGAGATTCTACTGATCTCGAAAAGATTTTAATTGAACGTGCTCAGAAGGAGAAGAATTTGGAACAAATTCGACAACTGATTGTTGTGTACTTGTTGCTACGAGGAGGTAGTTGTTTTGAATATTAGAGACCTCGGGGATATTAAGAGACTCAGTGTCTAACAAGGAATAAACTAGACTCAAACAGTCCTCAATAGATTCTAGAATTCTTGGTACCTATCAGAGGTAGGTCGGAACAGCCAGAGGTGTCGGAAATCGGAAGAGCTGGAAATCGGAACTGGCTCAAAAGTCGGAAATCGGAAATCAAAATTTTTTTCGAAAATCGGAAGGAAAAAACGTCGGAAATCGCAATTCCGACCCACCTCTGGTACCTATCTCGATCGGTTTTAACGAGATTTTGTCTCAATCCTATCCCTGATCCATAAACAACCCCAAAAGTGATTGTTTAGACTCTAATGTCTAATCAAAAATTACTTTAAAAAACCCCCTATATACTCTAAATTGCTTTTATATTTTCTTAACCTATATAAAATACAAATTATTATTTCTTCTCTCTCTTATTTTCTCCTTTCAATCTCCTCAACAATTTTGCTGTTTTTTATTCTTCCCCTTTTTTCTCCTTGTTGTCAGCCGCCGTCACTCGTGCCAGCCTCTCCCAACACCAACGCGCGCGTCTGTTTTTGTTGTGTCCTCTTTTTCGCAGTGCATTCCCGCCTTTGAATCCCGGCTCTTTTTTTGAAGAGAAAAAGAGGGCTAGCTAGCTGTCTTTTACTACTTTTCTTTAAATTTCTTTTACCTTTTTTTATTGTTGCTGGTAGTATTTGTAGTTGTCTCGGTCATGGTCAATTCCTTTAATTTTAATATAAATATTCACAAAAATGACCGAAAATGCTTTTGTCTGATTTTTTAAATGAGAATCTTTCAAAATTTGAAAAAATATTTTTTACAAATTTAAAAATTAATTAAACTTTTTTAACTCAAAATTTAAATTAAATCTTTCCCTAATTTTCCAATATTCTCTATTTGTGCCTTATTTTTATCATCCTTTTTTTCTTAATTTTAATTATAAATTTCGAATATTTTCATTCATATTAGGCTACTTTAAACTAGAGAGCAGACCAACCGTGCTACGGCCGTATTTTATCGATATTTATCGGTATTCCTTATCGGTAGTACTGTACGGAGTACGGTACGGTACAGAATTCCGATCTCTACTTTAAACGTCTCCCAATTCTTTTCTTTTCAATCAAAATCTAAACTCTAATAACCAAACTTTTTTGACCCAACTACTCCTATTTTCAAGCTTTCCTCGAATTTCAGACTCAAATGTCCAAAATTCCTTTACTCCCCTTTCCCTTCTAATTCTCTAACCCGCGATAATCTTCTTCTTCTTCCCATCATTTTCCTCCCCAATTTTACACAAATATTTTTTCCTCATGATATTTATTCTCCCCGTTACTCCCGTCACCACCACCGCAAAGAAGAAAAAAAACAAGTGAAGGTCCTTCCCGTATCTTCTCTTTATTTTCCCCTTTTTCTCTACTTTACTGTCTAACTCTTATTGCCAGCCGGCAGTTTCTTCTTTTAGTACTTTTTTTGGAGGACCACGCGTCCAAGAAAAATGGTCACGGAGAAAAACTCTCTTAAAAAATATTGAAAGTCCCCCCAAAAATATTTTACAAACCCCAAAAGATCACCAGTCTAGTAAAGTGGTGATCTTTTGGGTTATATTAAAATTAATTCAACTTTACACACTATTTTCTCTTTCTCTGTCTTTAGTGTTGAAAACTAACTTTTTGCTCTATTTAAAAAAATACCGCTCCTTCTCTCGTATTTTTCTTTCTTTTATTTGTAGTTATCAACAAGTAAATAAAAAATATTAAATCTGTTGCATAAATTCCCCATCCCCCTCCCTCTCTCCAGAAGATTTTAGAGGGGAGGATTTAATGTAAAAATGAGCTGTCCATGACCTGGATATTTTTAAAAAATAAAAATTAGGTGAAGGGCGTTTTTTCGGTTTTTTTTCAATTTTTTGAAAATTAGAGAAGGAAAAAAAAGATTTTTGGATGGTCCACCTTCTCTTTTTTGTCCACCCCCTCCCCTCCACATTTCCTCCTACATTTCCTTCTTGCGCTGCTTTTGCCCTCTTTTTTAGAGAGAAACAAATAGCCGATGGTTTTGCTACTAAAATAGGTGTTTTCCTCATTTCTTTGTTACTAAATCTTTCAAATTTAAATTTTCTTTGAATTATTCTCTATATTTTTAAAAATTAAAAAATATATTTTTTAATTTAAAAATTAAAAATTGTGGCTATATTTTCCTTCGTTTTTTGTCTTCCCTGAGACTATAACTGTGACGAAATATTTTCACACCTTTATTTTCTTCTAGGTGCTCACAGTTGTATTCTTTGGGCGCACAATTACTTGGGAATGCCTTAAACTTTTAAACAAATTCCGGAAACATTTTATTTTTTCCGGAAAGTTATATTTTCCTTCCGGAATTTTTATATTTATATTTGTTGTCCGGAAAGTTGGTAATATAAAAGTAATAGAGAGAGTAAAGGTATATTTTTCCGGAAATTTATATTCCCTTTCCGGAAAGTTAGAGAGGGTTATTTTATTTCCGGAAACTTTTAATATTACCCCAGTCCAAAAATATTTTTATTTTTAAAACTAAGAACTCGACGTACCGGAAAAACGGAAATTGACAACAGTTACTGATTTGGAAGATGCGGTACTGATATTCTCTTATTTAAATTTTAAATTATTTTTATAAAGTTCCCCGATTATCTCGAAGCAGAAATTGATTCAACCGACCCGTTAGTGCCTGGACACAGCGAATTATTTGGAAAAAGATTGCTTATAAAAAATTTTTTGTCCAAACCACTTCCGCCCTCCCTAGCAAAATATTATCTTCCTTTGTCTCAATTTACTATTGAAGAGGAAGGACAACGAGAAAATGTTTGGATTTATTCTTAAATTAAATTAAGTAAATTAATCAGGTTCCGGGTGTTGTGCCAGTTAGACGGCAACAACCAACAGTTCAAACAACAAATTTGTCAGGCTCTTCTCCTCGAAAAAAGTCACAACAGAAGCGAGTTTCCAACAACAAAGAAGCTTCCTCCTTCTTGTTGAAGCCTGAAAGGGAAGGTGGCGGCTATGTTTCGGGAGTATTGCCTTTAATACGTCAAGTACATTTTGAACGGACAAATACTGTTTGGAATATTGGGAAATTTAAAAAATAAATAAAATGAATTTAGATGAGTTCTCACGCAACTTTTGTAGTGGAAAATAACAGCCGACGGCCACTAATAGCTAATGATGGATTTGAAAACGGTCTGGAAATAATTTTAGATAAATTCTGTTTCGGAAAAATAAAATTACCAAGAATAGTAATGACTTAAAAACTAGAGTACTGGACGGGATGGGAACCCAGGCAGAAGTTTACGGGACCCCGTCCCTGAATCTTGGGTTCTAAGCGACAAACAGGATTACCGGGATTAGCCCCATATGATACCCTTCCCGTTCAACCTTTCAAAACAATTCCATTACGGAATCAAGGGAATGCAATCGGGCAGATTGTAAAAGAAAAAAAGCTTAAATCTAAATTAATTTTTTCTTCCAGTAATTGCTTCCCTCAAAGGAAATGCTTTAATAGAAGAGCATTGCCAAAGAATTGTTCAACAAAATTTTCAGCAACTTAAAATATCTAATGGAAACGAGGATGTTGAAATTCTTCAAAATTCTTGTGAAATGTTAATTATTGAAGAATTACCCAGTAATTTTGAAGAAGAAATTAATTTCCAATCAACCTCCACTGAAATTAATTTTTTGGATAAACAAATTCAACAACAAAATCGTCCCAACACAACAACAATAAAAAAGGAAATAACAAAAATGTTTAGCAGTAAATTGGGGGGAAGAACACAAAATAATCGAAAACAAGATAAAAGACTTCAAAAAGAAGTTTTGGCTGAAAGAATGGAAGAAAGTATTGGAGGGATTGGAGGGGGTGTAGATGAAGTTAAAAGTGAAGAAATGTAAATAAAATATTTAATTGGATTTTTTAAAATAAAATTTTATAGAGATTATTATGAGGAAAAAGAATATACGGCTGCATTTGCGGCTCGACCCAAAATTAGAAGAACACCTCCAAAATTGCCAGATGATGAGGGGTTATTGGATGAAGAATAAAAATTTTTTTAATTGACGTTATAATTAAATTGTATTTTAAAATATATGTAAATTTGACAGGCTTTAATCTGTTAAAAATGGTATTAATAAATGCTGCATAAAATAAAAATAATTTAATCGAAAGTCAATGAAAAAAAACCAATAATTTTTAAAAATCTTTTATTATCAAATAAATCAAATAAAATTTCATCTTCTAAAACTCTATTCTTTCATTTTTTGAGAAGAATATGTATGTATAAAAAATCATTCCATTATTCAATTCTTTAATCTCATTTTTGGATTGAAAATATTGGCAATTTGATAATTTGTATATTTTAAATTATTTACTTGCTTAATTTAAATTTTTTTGTTCTTTTGTTTAATTTAAAATTTGGTAATGGAATAAAATTTAAAATAATGAAAGGCCCCATTTTTCCTCAAATGTTGTTATATGCTAAAATTTGAATTTATTTTTAATTATTTATAAATAATTAACTATTTCAAATTTTTGTTTCAGATTATTTTTAAATAAAATGACTTCATTAACTTCTTTAAAATCTGTCAACATTTTTATTACTGGGGCAAATAGAGGAATTGGTATTGGATTGGTAAAAGAAATCCTAAAACAAGTCAAAGGTGTAAATAATTTATTTGCGGGTTGTCGGAATCCAGATGAGGCTAAAGTTTTTTTTTAATTAATTTTGGAAAAAAAATTAAAAAATAAAGGAACTTCAAACTTTATCCAGTCAAAACCCTTCTGTTAAAATTGTGAAAATTGATGTTTCTTCAGATGAAAGTATTCGGGTTGCGGCAGGTTAAAAATATATTTTTTAAGAAATTTGGGTAATTTTGATTGCCTATTTTGCTCTCTAATTCTCCACTTTTTTTGTCAAATCAATCAAAAAAGATTAAAAGGGATGAAATTATTGAGTAAATTTGATTAGAATATTCACATTTTCAATTTTTCGAAGCCCTCACCTTTTATCATAAATGTTTTAGTAAAATTCCGTCATATGTCCCAGAGAACCTGTTCGGACAAACAATATGTCATTCGAAAAAACTCGTTGATTGTGAGCTTATCATATCGTTTTTGTCCGAATTGATTTCTGAGACACATGACTAAATTATTGGGTTTCTGAGACTAAATTACCAATAAACCTTTTTTGATTGATTTAATGAAAAACGTATAAGGGAAAATTAAGGGAAAAATTGAAAAATGAGGAGGAAAGTCGTTCACCTATAGAAAATTTTGATAAAATTGTCTTTTCAGAAAAAATAGCAAACCAAGTTAAAGACATTCATTTGTTAATAAACAATGCTGGGATTTTTGAAAAAGAGGTTTTTGAATTCAAGATTTGTGAATAATTAGAAATATTTTTTAAAGAAAGGTTATTCTATACACCAACCAAATCGAGATATTTTCCAAAAACATTTTGATATTAATTCAACTGGGGCAGCTATAGTTACTTCGGTTATTTATTTAATTTTATAAAAAATTCAAATAAAATTTCAGAATTTTTTGCCTCTCCTTTTGACTGCCGCCTCTTCTGGATTTTCCCCTTTAGTTGTTAATATAAGCTCTATTTTGGGGTGTATTTCTCGTATAGTTCCAATTTCTTCATTAGAGAACAAATCTGTTATTTACGGAATGAGCAAGGTTGTTTTTTGTTAAATATTTGGGAATTTGAAAGTAAACTCCACCAAAGTCTGTTCCAAGAAATCTAGACACCCCAAATTTTCTGATAAGTCGATTATTCGGGATGGACTTTACATTAACCCAAAAATACATGGAGTGTGTTAAGGTTAGAAGTTTGGTCGGGCATTATTCCCTAATTCTTTTGAGTGGCTAGTAGATGGGTTTTTCAAAATTCTCAAAATTTTCGTTTTCGATGGGGCAGCAATCAATAAAACGTTTACTTGACTGATTTTCTAGATTGGCTTTTCGCCAAATCCTGGGATAAGGCCCATAACCAGGTTTTTGGGGTAGGGGGGTATCATTTGGCGCCGAGGGCGCGGAAACTATGGAAATCCGTTGGAAAGTTTTATTTTCTGAAGAAAAAAATTTCCTTAAGAGTTTAACAGGGAAAATTTCTGCAATATTTTCTTAAAATTCTTGTTATAAAAATACTTTTAGGCAGCCCTTAATTACTACACAAAAGCACTTTCTTTGGAAGAACCCAAACTAATAACGGTAGCTTTACATCCTGGCTGGGTTAAAACAGAAATGGGGGGAGATAATGCTCTTTTGTCTATTGAAGAAGCTTCTTCAGATATTGTTAAACGAGTATGTCTATTAAAGAAGGAAGATTCGGGAAAATTTATGGATTCAAAAATGGAATTGACGCCTTGAATTTTTAGATTAGAGAAACTTTAGAGAAAAAAATTAAAAAAAAATTAATTCACTTAATTAATTTAGAAATACCAAAGATTTTGAGAATTTTAAGTTTCATCTAACGTTTCGTGTTAATATTTATTAAACCAAATGATTAAAAATATAAGTAAATCACGAGCCGAAAGCGAAAATTTTGAGAATTTTCAGAAGACCAAGAAGCCAGATTTCTTGAAGAGGCCAGCTGTGGGGTTGCGGGAGCAAAACCCTGCGCGAGATCCCTCCCGCATGGACCTCTAAAAGGAACAAAAAAATTTGATATTTGAGAAAAAAAGTGGGGGAAACGAAATTCAAAATTACCTCATTTCTTTAAAATTGTTTAAAAATAATTAAAAATAAATGGGGTTTAACCAGATTGAAACGTAAATCAAACAAAATTTAAAAACAAAAAAATAATTTATAATCAAAAGAGCACATTAACAACAAAAGATATTCTAAAATAATTATATTTGTCCAATAAATCAAAAATAATTTTATTTTCCTCATCTCAACTTCTACTCTTTCATTTTTCCGATTAGAACATTTGCCACTCCAACTCCTCTAATTCTTGGTTTTTCTCTAGTTGAAAATGAGAATTTCAGTTTTGGATAATAAATATTGGCAAGTTGGTAACGGGTACATTCACCTCCTCCATCCAATTGTTTAATTTCGACCTTCTCTGCTCCCTCACTTAATTTAAGATTTGTGGAACTACGAAAGGCTAATTCAATAAAAGACACTATTTTTGAACAGTCCTTGGATGTTGCTATATACTAAAAAATTTTGAATTTATTTTAGACTTTTCCCGATAATAACTTACTTCAACAATATTTTCATAAAGAAGTACTACGTTTATAGAATCCACCACATTTACAGAACAATTGAAAAATTCAAAACTAATTTCTTTAAAATTGTCTCCTCCATTCGTTAAAATTTCAAATAAAATATCCTTATATTTTTCTATAATGTCCTGATATAGACGAAGAGAAGTATGAAGATTTCCACTTGACAAATTATTTAAGATAAATTGAAGTGAATTTTGCATAGTGTGCTCCATAATTTTTATTTGACAGCAGTGAATATAAACACGTTTAGGAGTCTTTGCATTTCCAAATAATAATTGAAGCAGTTCTTGATTAAATACAAATTCGTTAATCTCCCCATAATCAAAAGAACAATTAAATACTAATTTATTCAGATAATAATAAACAATTTTTAAATCCTCTTTACTTTTGATAATTGTTGGCAGTTGTAGTAGAATATGGTGTGCATTTCGGAAAACTAAAAAAAATTTAAAGGAAAAGAAAATTAAATAAAGGAAGTTTGTATCCCTTTTGTATTATCGCTTAGTACTTTCCACGGTACCGCAAGCCCAAATGTACCGAAGAGCTATAACTTTGTTAAAAATTGTCAAATCCGGGACGCTCTGTTAAGTTCTCGAAACAGCTCTACAAGCCATACCAAGACGCCCCGAATTCTACAATTCTGAACAAAATTATAGCTCTCCAATACCTTGGCCTCCTCTCATTATTCTCTACTGCAGACTAAAGCGAACTCGATAAAATTTTATTAAGCAAGATCTGACCTTTAGTTACGCAAACAACAAGAGTTTTGCTTGGATCTTGCTTAGGTAGATACACAGAAATTGGTTTTTCAAGTCCATTTTTGAACTAAAAATGAAAGAAATTTTAAGAGGTATTTCAAATTACCTTCTCTTCAAGTTGCTCATTCAAAGTAAAGTCAAGAGGTCTGCCTTCCAATTTAATTAATTTATGAGGATGCTTGTATTGCTCGAGATATTGCTTAAAAATATTTAAAAATTAAATTAATTATGTAAAGCATGTAGCGCTATTTAATTCCTAAAGTTGAGCTTTAGGCGTGGTGTAATAGCTAACACATCAGTCCGGTCTAATGAAGTTGCTAGTCTACATCCAGACCAGGGCTGGGCTTATTTCGTACTTTCGCGTTTCGCATTCTCGCATTTTTTGGCGCGAAAAGTTTCGCATTTCGCTTTTTATTTTTTCATTACGCCCAGCCCTGATCCAGACGCCGAATAACCTTTAGCACTAGCTAAAGGAGAGAAATAGCTATAGCCCCCTAGCTTCTTTACTATCAAAAAATATTACAATATAAATTTGACATAATTTCTCCTTAGCAAGTTCTTCTTGAAAATAATTAATGAAATCGTGAAGACAAAAATTCGTCTGTTTGACTGAGCATAATTGTTCATAGTTGAGGAATTTAAAAACATCAAGTATTGCCTCTGCTGGTAAACAAAGCATTTTTTAGACGATAAAGCACTAAAAAAATAAGTTTAAAAATTATTTAAAAATCTGTACAGTTTGTTAGGTACTAAACTCCAAAGTCTTCATAATAACAAAAGAATTAACGAAATAAGAAGGTAACTAACAAACTGTGCTTAATCACGATAGAAATAATAAAATGAACAATAAGAATATAGTTAAAAAATACCGAATATGTTGTTGGAAACAAAACAGAATAACAGAAAAGTTGATAAAATGACACACTTAACTAACACAGAATAACATTATAGAGTGGCTTTTATACTAACTGGCTGGGTCAAGACAGAAATGGGGGGATATAATGCTCTTTTGTCTATTGAAGAAGCTTCTTCAGATATTATTAAACGGATATGTCTTTTGAGGAAGGAAGATTCAGGAAAATTTATGGATTCAAAAATGGACTTAACGCCCTGAATTTTTAGATATTTTAGCAATTTTAGAGAGAAAATTCTTTTAAAAATTAATTTAAAATTAATTTAAAATTTGGATCATAGTAGTCCGGCTAGTCTTATGTATCTTCCTCTATCAGAATACTCTTAATCCACTGAAATCTCTCTTAATCCATATCTGTGTTTGGATTGATATCTTGCGAATTTTAGATTAAGCGGAATTAGAAGAGATATCCGAAAATTTGGAAGGATATCGGGGATATCCAAGGATCTCGGAAGGCTTAATGTTCAAATCAGCGTTGCAGGAAAGCCTTGAGATATATTCTTTCCTTTTTTGCAACAGTTTTACGAGGACTTTATCCCCATACAGTATTTTCCCAGCCCTACATATAAATTAAAGTTGAGTACGAGCGAGTTCGAGTATACTCGACTCGATCGCTCGGGTTTTTTTCGTCTTTACTCGGGCTTGGAACTCGGAATCCTAATACACGGCACTACTCGAACTCGGCTTTTCCTCAATTACTCGGTACTCGACTTACTCTAATATAAATATTTAAAGAACGTAAGTATTCTAATATAAGCCCATCCGAGGAGACCCGCAGAAAAATATAAGCCCAGGGCTTCTATTAGAATATTCACGCTAACCTTTTAAAAAATGTTAAATAAATTCTTTAAGAACAAAAATAATTTAATCTAAATGAAAAACAACCACAATAACAACATTAAATCTTAAATAAAACTTTGATTTTCGCCCTCTTCAATTTCCCCCTCTTTTTATTATTGTGATGTGATTGCAAAAAGCTAATGCATCCTTCCATTCTTTAACACAAAATTCAAATTTCAAATTTGGATTGTAAATATTGGAAATTTCGTAATTAATATATATTGTGTAGTCTAATTGGTTAATTTCAACATTTTCTGCTCTTTCGGTTAATTTAAAACTTGTAGAATTTGTATAATTTAAAATAATTATAGGCACCATTTGTGAACAGTCATTAGATGTTGTTATATACTAGAGAAAATTTTGAAATTATTTTTTAACTTTTCTGTAAATATAAAGTTGATTTTTTTCCTGTGCTGAGTATGGCTCCGGGAGCTAGCTCCGGAGCCGGGAATTTTGAAAAAAGATTTTAAAGAACCCGGAGCAGGAGCCAAGATTTTGAAAGCCTGGAGCCGGAGCCAACAAATGGCAAATACCCAGTACTGCCTTTTTCTTATTATAAAGGTCTCCCGACATTCTCATACACTTCCTGACTTATCTTTTTTATTCACTTTCATTTTGTATTTTGATCCTCAACTTGCCCCTTAAATATCCCTGCTTTTTCCTCATTATCAGATTTGGCCTAACCTTTTCTCTCCCTTATTATTGTATTCGATATTTATACATACATATGTATGTTGAATAAATTGAATAAATAAATATTCAAAAAAATGTAATTTATTCTAACATAAGTCCCCAGAATAGTAGAACCCAAGTTAAGCTATAAATCTTCAAATACTTACATCAAGAATAAAATCATAAACCCACGTTAACTTTGAATTACAAAAATAAATTTGGGGGAATTTATCCCCTTCATTCACTGACATAAAAAATAAAATCTCCAAATCCTCTTCTGTAATGTCCACACTATCTAAATTGATGCTAAAGGATTTGGAAATTGATAAATGCTCAAAATAAAATTCCAAATGGAATGTTTCATCGTTAGCCCAGAAACAGGCTTCTTCAATGTTAAATTTGAGAGGGATTGCTTTGTTGTTATCAAATAATATATTAATCATTTCTGGATTAAATACTCCTTTATCAAAATAAGCACATTCAAAAGCACAATTAAATAAATGTTCTAGCCAACAACGAATAATAATCATTTCTTCAATATTTTTTGGAATGTTTGGCAATTTTAAAACATAATGGGGGTTTGTGTCCAATAAATTTTCAATGCTAACAAGGAAGTCTCTGTAAGGTCCATAATTATTTAAAAACAAGGGAATTCCATCATTTATCGCTGTTTGCCACTGAAACAATGTAATTTATTTAATCAAAAAATTAATTGGTACTTTTTGGTTATCTTGAATGGCTCTTTAAGGAAATAAAAGAAAGTTGGCCTTCAAAATGATCTTGATAAAGAGTTTACCAAGTTTAGCCACCTGGCAGGACCTGCAACCTCCTTGCTGCAACCTCCTTGTAATTATTGCTAGACACTTTCGCTCAACTCATACAGAAGCTCTACTGTGCTACCAGTAGAGCTTACTGGTAGAGGGGGGGGGGGTACCAGGGCATGAGCTACCAGGGCATCGACTAATGGGGCATCGTCTCTTTTTCCTTTTTTGATCGTTTAATCCCCGTCTAAGCGTTTTAAATGGTCTAGGTATTTAAAACGTCATCAATTCTTACAATAAATTTTATTTGTTTTTATTGCTTTTGCTTAACCATTATTTCTTTTTGCCCCTATTTTGAGAGAAGAACAAGGAAAGGAAAAGAGGAAAATGGGAGAGGGAGGGGGTTAGTTAACCCAAAAAGTATCAATTAGGTATAATATAACCTTAGTTATAAGTTGATCATTTAAATTAAATTCAAAAACTCCAGAAGCAGGTTCAATAACTTTACATGAATGAAGAAAGCCAACATCAAACCAAAATTAATTTAAATTACTTTAAAATTATTATTTAATTATTTATTTACTATTTGAAGTTTTTTAAATTTCATTCGAAAGCACAATTCCCCCTCATATTTATTAATTAAATTGTAAAAATAAGAATTAATTTGTTTAAAAAAGAATAATTGTTCGAAATTAAAACATTTTAAAATGTCTAGTTGAACTTCAATTGGGAAAGAAAACATTTTAGTTTTATCTAAAAATTTTGTGGAAAATGAAAGAAAATTAAAATGAGGGGAGAGTAAATTGAGAAAATTGAACTGAAAAATAAATAAAATTTTAGCTACATTGGAGGCCTTGAGGCCTGTACGGACATTTTTGTGTTCATCAAATTAAATGGAGTTAAAAAACTTTTATTTACAAAAAAATTAATTAGTCAGTGTTTGACAGAAAAAATAAATTAATCAACAAAATAAATAGTTATCATTGGGTTAGTCAATTAAATTATTCCCCAAATTAAAAGAAAGGCTCTCTTCTTAAATATTTAACAAATAGCAATGAAGGGAGAGGGCCAATTCTCTGTGGGAAATAAAAATAAAGGTGGGGAATATTTTGGTCGGTTTCTGGTATTTTATTATGCGCTAAAAATGAATTTTCTTGATTATTTCTTAATTATTAACTAATATTCAATAAAAAGTTAGTCTTCAATTCGATTAAACATTTCTCAGAAATAAAACTTTTTATTTTTAAATTCCTCAATTATCAACAATTATTTTCAATTAAACAAACAAATTTATATTTTAGTAATTTTATTAATAATTTCGAGGAGCTTGTTCAGAAGCACGTCACTTATACATTCCATAAATGTCTTGTGAACATTCTCAAAAGTCCATTCCTTCACCATATTAACAGTGTGTTATAGTGGGGTTATCCTAAATTGGAAGTAACGGCTTAGGGCTTAGGTAGCTCCTCCCGGTCCGATCTCTAATTTTAACTCAAAGGGTTTATAATAAGCAAATAAATTTAAAAATATTGAAATTTATTTTACAAAACAAAAAACGATTTAAACGGAAAAAATGAGAACATCGTTTTAATTTCGAACCCATTAAATTCCCTTTTTTATTATTCTTAAAGTATAAATACTAGAGTTATCCTTGGGTTCTGAAGTATAAAAATAAAATCTCAATTTTAGATTGTAAATGTTGAAAATTTGATAACTGGTAGATTTTAAATCATAGTTGTTTAATTTCTGTTGCTTTTTCGCTTATACAACTTAAATTTAAATTTCTTTTGGTAAGATATTTCAAATGAATATCAGGCACTATTTTTGAACAGTCTTTAGATGTTGCTATATACTTTAAATTTAAATTTACTTTTTAATTAAAAAAGCTTAGAAAAGCTGGCTCTATCCGAAATGAATGCCATCATCCAATTTTTCCTTTCCTCCTCGAATGGGGAGAAAGAGTTAATTTTTCGGCTGCAGTAGGGGGGAGTAAACTCAATTTTTGAGTGAAAAATTTGGTTTTTTAATGATGGCCATTTGAAAGAGCCTCCCAAAATTGAAGAACTACATGGGCGAATTTTGGATAAAAAAATTCGAATATACAAATGTTAGCTCATTCGAAAGAACTCGTCGAACTAAGTTTAAGAACTAAAATCACCGTGATTGAACAAGTTTGGACAAAGTTACCTTACCACCGGTAAACTACTACATCCGAAAAATTAACTTTTTCTCCCCATTCGAGGAGGAAAGGAAAAATGGGATGGCGGCGTTCATTTCGGATAGGGCCGAAAAGCTTACTTCAACAATAAGATCATAAAGATGAGGCACTCCATGTTTTAATACAAAACAAATTTGATGTAATATATCCCCTTTGTTTATCAAAATATTAAATAAAATATCTGTATATTGCTCTATAATGTCAACATGTGTAAAATCTATTACAAGAAATTTGAAAATGTTTAAACAATTTAGAATGATGTCAGCTTATTTTCACATATATCATCGTTAGAAGATATATATGGCCGTTTAATGTTAAATTTAAGAGTTTTGTTGGTATCAAATAATATATTGAGCATTTCCGGATTAAATAAACATTTATCAAAATGGGCATATTCAAAAGCACAATTAAAAAGCTTTTCCAACCAGTAACGAATAATAATCATTTCTTCAATATTTTTTGGAATGTTTGGCAATTTTAAAATATTATGAGGTTTTCTGTCAACTAAATAGGGAAGTTTAAAGATTTTTTGGGTCAAATTGAGATAGAAATCAATCTTAATTAAGGGCTAGTAAAATACTAAATATAAATTTTATTTTATATACCCTACCAATATGGTAATACCAAGGCTGGTCCCCCCTTTTTTCCTCTTCTATTTTTTTCGATAATTTAAACTTTTTATGGCAAATTATAGTATATAACGGTACTAAATTCATCGAAATCCGACTTAACCATAGTAAATAACAAAAAAAGGAGAGGGAGGGGGGAAAGGGGGACCAGCCTTGGTATTACCACAGGGATATTTCTAAACCTGTCTTTATACACAAAATTAAGTTTTTGTCATATTCATACAACGGAATTGATTTAGATATGGCCCTCTTCCACTGAAAAAAATAAAATTTAAATTTAATTAAAAATTAATTTCACCTTCTTTTTAAGTTGACGATTCAAAGTAAATTCAAAAACTCCAGATTTAGGTTCAATAAATTTATATGAAATTAAACTTCGAAGAGAGTCATAATCAATTTAAAATTAATTTAAATTTAAAAAAAGTTTAGTTTATAATTATTTACTAGTAAGAGTTCGCTGAATTTTATTCGAAAGCACAATGTTCCCTCATATTTATTAATTAAATTGAGGAGGTAAAAATTGGTTTGTTTAACAGAAAATAATTGGCTGAAATTTAAACATTTTAATACATCAAATTGAACTTCGGTTGGTAAAGAAAACATTTTAATTATCAAAAAATATCTGGAATGTTTCAAATATTCTGTCTAGAAAAAATTAATCAGTGTTTTATCAGCAAATTAGTCAACGTTGGGTCAGTCAATTAAATTAGTCACCAAATTAAAAGAAAGGCTCTCTTCTTAAATATTTAACAAATATCAAATAAAGGAAGAGGGAACAGGCCAACTGTCTGGCAAAAAGTCGGTCTCCAATCTTTTATTAGGCACTAAAATGTGTTTACTTATTATTTCCTAATTAGTAAATTAATAATTATCAAATAATATTTAATAAAAAGGAACAAAAAAATTCGTTATCTTATATTCACATTTCTTCCTTCTCAACTGGTAACTCACTCAACAGATCTAAACAAAGCAAACTCGTTTGATCGTCACCCTACTTGTCCAGAAGCATGTCACCTACACTTTCCTTAAGTGTCTTGTGAACTCTCAAAAGTTCATTCCGGCACTAAATTAATGTATCTCAACACTTCAATGAATTACATATAGTGATTACTATACTAGACAATATTTAGGACTAAAAACTGTATCAAATAGTGGGGTTATCCTAAATTGGAAGTAACGGCTTAGATAGTTCTTTCCTCTCGTTAAATACCCAAATAAATTCTAAAATCTAAACTTGTATCTATTTTTGGCTATTTTTAAATGAAGAACCATTGTTTGATGTATTTTATATGTAAAAAAATTGGTTAACTATGTATTTACATAGTTTCGAGGCAGGCAATCAAAAACAAAATGCCTGAATTGAAGGAAGAGTGAGTGAATGTGACTACAGTCGAATTGTTTATTATACAATTAAGAAATGAGTGCCCATTTTTTACATCAAGTGAATATCTGGATAGGGGGAGGAGACTAAATACCAGAGGTGCCGAAACGGATTTTAAAAAGCGAAACGCGAAAAGCGAAACTGGCACACCCCTGCTAAATACACACCAAAAAAATTTTTATTTTTCTTATGTTTTGGTGTCTTATATTTTTTAAATTATAAAAATTTTTAAAATAATTTTAAAGTTTTTAAAGGTCACAAATAATTATTCTCCTTCTTTATTTAAAAACAAATAACGAAACAAAAAACAATTTTAATTTAATTTAAAATTTGTCAAAGTAAAAGGCTCTATTTTCGTGTAAAATCCCACATATCTATATTTATATCATCGACAGAAGATAAATTCTGATTGTAAAATCGACGAGGAATTGTCTCGTCACCATCAAACAGTAAATCAATCATTTTTGGATTAAACACGCTTTCATTAAAATGTACACGTTCATAACCACAATTAAAAAGCTTTTCCAACCAACAACGAGCAATAATCATTTCTTCAATAGTTTTTAGACAGTTTGACAATTTTAGAATATAAAAAGAATTTTCTTCAGCTAAATAAAAAAATTAATTTAAAAATTATTATTTAGATCAATCGAGATTGAAATTTGCGGCTTAAAAAATTAGAGTCTAATTTGTCCATAAATTAAGAGACCGCAAATGTTTGTCCTCAATTTCTATCTGGAAATGAAGATGTGGAAACTAGAGTTTGATATTACGGTTCGGGGCTGGGCTTACGGGGAACGGGGGTTATGGGGAATTCGGGTCAGAGATGCGGGGAATTCGAACCGCGAGGACGGGGAACGGGGGCTATGGGGATAGACCTCCCCGTCTCCGGGGAATTCCCTTCCCCTAGTGGAACTCACATCTTTTCCCCGATCATTATTAATTCTTAAAAAAATTTTATTTTTAAAACATTGCGGTCGTGTTGGGGTTATTTTATATACAAATATTTTTCGACCTTTCATTTTAATACAAATAAGATAGCTGGATCCAAATTCGCCTAAAAACAATTTTTTGTCTACCGCTGTTTTCCACTGAAAAAAAATAATTTTTATTTAATCAAAAATTAATTCATTCACCTTCTTTTTAAGCTGATCATTTAAAGTAAATTCAAAAACCCCAGCTTGAGAGTCAATTAATTTATATGAAGGGAACCATCGAAGAGAGTTAGGAGTAATCCAAAATTAAAATTTTTAAATAGTTAATTAAATATTTTTTACTATTGCGAGTTCTTTAAATTTCTTTCTTGCCAACCTTACTCCATATTTATTAATTAAATTTAGAAGGTAATAATTGGTTTGTTTAATAGAAAATAATTGGTCGAAATTAAAACATTTTAACACGTCAAGTTGAACTTCAGTTGGTAAAGAAAACATTCTAAAATTTTATCTAAAGAAGGCTTAGAATCATTAAACGTTTAAAAATAATTAAATATTTATTAAACAAAAAATACTAACTTAAATTAAATAAAAATTTATTGACTCTGACATTTGATGTAATATCCAAAAACTGGGAAAGATGTGTGGGGGGTAGTGCAAAATGGAGGAATAAGAAACATTGTGGAACAGCACAACATCGTTAGGGGAGTTATTTTGCCGAGTTTATATGGAAGAAAATTATTGTTGAAGAAAACGTTGCTGCTTGGGGAAATATTGGTTAGTGTAATAGTTCCTCCTACATATTAAATAAAATTTCCCACAAAAAGAATGTAGAAATAACGGAGCACCACTATAATTTTTATAAATTTCATATTTGTGCCGGACCGGGTCCTCCCTGATGTTTCTGTATTAATCCGGTTCGGAAATACATCTGAGAAAAAAACCCGAATATACTAAATTGAATTTATGGTGGAAGAAAAGGGTGAGAGGCAAACGTCGGTCTTAGCAAAACTCGGTCCAAATTGTTTGGGGTCTCCTAGGCTCGAGTGATGTTATTTGTTTGTTACAAATGGGAAGGTCATGTCAACTACGGGGAAGGTACCAACTATCCGCAACACATTCCTCGTAGCTATTGGAAAAACTGATCGTTGTTGGAAGAATCTTTCCGTAGTTGGAATAGCCTCCTTGTCGTAACAAACTAGCATGAGTCCACCACATTTGGACCGAGTTTTGTCCGACCAACTTTTGCCCTTACACAAGAAAATACATTTTTGTCTTAAAGTTCTTTGACAAAAAGACGTATGGGAAAAATATTTTTAATATTAAGAAATTTTAACAAATACATTGGAGAATATTCAAAAAATTATTGAAAATGTTTATCAAAAAAAATTAAAACAAATTTTTAAATAAAATGAACCCAAAGCTTTATAAATTAAAGAGCAAGCAAAAAATGAAAAGTGAAAAAAAGAGGGGTTGACTTCCACAGTATTACCCCGAAAAGTAAAATCAAAATCAAAAAAATATTCATGTATTTAACAACAAAATCGTTCAATTAATATTCAACAATTTCTTCAATCCTTTCGTTAAACTACCCAAATTAAAATAAATATCATTTAATTTAATATTAGCCACCATTTTTGGGCAATCCATTGACATTTCAATACCCTAAAATACAAAAAAAAAATATTGATGTGTATAGTTAAATAAAAATATTTTATGTGATAGTCAGACTTCTGTTTTAGTTACCCCCTTGTTTCAGAAAATGTTGATTTAAAAACGAGGGGTATCCAAAATTTGGAGGTATCAAATAGGCAGTTAAAGAAGAACCCCTAAAATCAACTTCGGAGTATCAAAATCGTTGTCCGTCTTTATTATAAAGAACCCGCAGACTGCCAATAAACTAATGGATAGTCCCTAGTAATTCCTAGTAATCCGTTCCTAGTCCGTCCGATCCCTAGTAATTATTTTCTAATGCCATTTTCTCTATTTAATGGATATACTACAAAAAAAAACTTACATACAGTCGTGGAAAAAAGTATGGAAGCGCTAGAAAATTTTTTCTTAATTTTTAATTTTTCATTCAAAAAATACGTTCTATATAGCAATCGAAAGCTCTATTCGTATCTCAGTTGACATGTTTCTGCATTTTTCATGAAAATGAAAATTGGCCGAGATAATCCGGATTTACCGGATATGCCAAATCCCACTTTTTCGGAAAAATTTTTCGGAACAAATTTAACAAACCCATTTGATAAAGCATATTTTTCTGAGTATTTTCCACAAAACCGCTTATAAATATCTTTTTCCGGAACAGAGATATGATTTTTTGAAAATCGTATTTTTCCCTTAAAAATTTAATTTTTTCAAAAATTGACGAAAAATGCCATTTTCAAAAAATCATATCTCTGTTCCGGAAAAAGATATTTATAAGCGGTTTTGTGGAAAATACTCAGAAAAATATGCTTTATCAAATGGGTTTGTTAAATTTGTTCCGAAAAATTTTTCCGAAAAAGTGGGATTTGGCATATCCGGTAAATCCGGATTATCTCGGCCAATTTTCATTTTCATGAAAAATGCAGAAACATGTCAACTGAGATACGAATAGAGCTTTCGATTGCTATATAGAACGTATTTTTTGAATGAAAAATTAAAAATTAAGAAAAAATTTTCTAGCGCTTCCATACTTTTTTCCACGACTGTATAAACAAAAATAAAAATTATAAAGTTCTGTCAACTCATCACAAAGTGACCCAACTTCATTAAACTTGTCTCCTCTCATTATAATTAAGAATAAAATATTTCTATATTTTTTCATAATTTCTTCATTACTAAATGTTTCACGGACTAAATTATCCAAAATAAATTTTAATAGACCATCCGTACTGGTAGGTTTAGACATCCAATTTTTTATTTTATGTGTCCAATTGTTTATAACATAAAATTTCCCGGGAATTGTAGCATTTTCAAAAAATAATTTAATTAATTCTGGATTAAATATAAATTGGCCAAAATCGGCAAAAACAAAAGAACAGTTGAATAATCGATTTAAATAATGATAAACAATTTTCATTTGCTTTTTGTTTCTAATAATTGTTGGGAGTTCTAGAATAATGTTGTGTTCTTCAATGTTGCTGTAAACTAAAAAATATAAAAAAATTTTTTTAAAGCTTTCATTTCTTTTATTATTGAAAAAACTTGAAAAAAGTGAATTTTTTGGGCTACGACCTTCTAAAATTCTCAAAATTTTCCTCCTTGGCTCCCGAAAAAATCCTGGCTACGGGCCTGCTAAAAACACTATTAATTCACACACAAACACACACTTTTGTTACTGTAGTTTTTTGTGTAGTTTTTTAGCCCGCTGTATTATACATAGTAAATATATTAGTGATGTTCAAGAAAAACTCGGACAACGGGAGTCGTGTCGGAAAATGGCATCAGGAGTCGGGAGTCCAAAAACTCGGGAAATTTTTCCGAGTCGGGATCGGGATACTCGAACATCACTAAAGTATACCTATATGCCAACCAAATGAAAAACAAAGTCTGCAAAAACAATAGGGGCCCAATTTTGGTTTTATTGCTATCCACAAAAAAGGTTTTCCCCTCTAAATTCTTTGAATTTAAAACATCAAAAAATCCACCTATAGACAAGCTAATGACAATATTGTAAAGCAATCCGTGATCAGGTAAATATAAAGGAATTCGTTTTTGTTGTCCATTACTCCACTAAAAAAAGAAATTTAAAAACATTTAATTAGCTATTTTTAACCATTTCCTCAATTTGTTCATTCAATTCGTTATGTTGCTCGTCAAATAAAGCAAAATCAAAATTTCCAGCTTCGGGTCTAACATATTTATAAGGAATTTTTTCGTAATTGAAATTGTTTGAAATTTCTTTGAAAAAATCCTTTGAAAGATTTTAAAAAAAATAAAATTCGATTAAATAACCTAGGGTAGCACTCCGAGCCTTAAGGGGCGGGATTGTCGGATTTCGGGGTGTGCCAGGGTAGAGCCTTCGGGGGTCGGTATAAACTTACGATAGTAAAATTGAATAATTCTTCTCGGGCAAGTTTCCCCTCAAAATTATTAATAAAATCACGAAAAAATAAATTTGTTTGTTTAATTGAAGATAATTGTTCATAATTGAGACATTTAAAAATATCAAGCTTTGCTTCTGTTGGCAAAGAATAAAAAAACATTTTTTTATAAATTTAAGCACTTGAGAATTGAGATTATCTAAAATTAATTTAAAAAATTACAGATTGGAAGATTGGATGTAAAGAGAGCTACCAAAAAAAAGCGGTAAAGGATATCACCCTATATTAAGTAAATGCCGAAATTTATTTTATTTAAAATCAGAAAAATTGCAGCTTTTTTATTAAAAATGAGAGAAAACTAAAACAGGAGAAGTTAGAGGGCATTAGACAAAATTTGGGATCAAATGTCATGGATTGGCAAAATGAAATTTAATTTGTATCTTTCTTCGCCGTTTCATCGATAGCTCTACTTCATGTAGAATTTTACTGTAGCTCTATAATTGAACTTTAAAGGGTTTAATGTTAGGAATTGAGAAAAAAAACTAGATTTATCAAATATGTATGTATTAGTTGCTAGGTCTCAACAGATTTTTGGAAAGAGAGAGAAATACAAAAAGTTCAGGCCTAACGTGATTTTCAACCAGCTTTGCTAAAATTTTGATTTTTTAGTTAAACCCTGAACCCCGACCGAAAGGCTGATGGAGAATACTTTTAAAGAAATGTTTGTTTGTTTTTTTAATTTGAATCTCTCGCTGGAATGGGTAATGTGGGCAGGGTATTTATTTGAAGGAGGGTAATAAGTACCGTAAGTTATAAACGCAGTATATTGAAGATTGCTAAAAATATTGAAGATTGCCAAATATTTTACAAAAAAATTTATTCCAAAAACACATTTACATACAAAACAAATTTACAACAAATCAAATAGAATATATTATGAGACATATGTACATATTACACACAAGGAAATTTAGGAAATATACAACATATAAATGAATGCAAGATAACAACAAAGGAAAATATGAGTTTAGATATTATATTCAGTTCATTTTTATCTCTTTAGAATTCTTCCCCCTCTGTGGCAGGTTCCTCCTCGGCCGTCTCCACCGGTTCTTCAGTGCGCGTCCCACCATCCCGACTCGGTGTTGCAACCAGTTTCTTTCCCGTATCATCAACCGGAAATGGCTCGGACTCAACGTCAGGCACATGATATACTGAAATTTAAAGAATTACCCAACGACTTCTTTTCACTTATTCGAGTACCTCTCTTCGGCTTCCGTGGTTCTTCCTCCTCAATTGGAATGAGCTTACACCGCTTATTCCAGAAGCCTTTAGCGCGCGTAAGTATTTCACACACGTCCTCGGCTGCGGTCGAGATCAGCTTCAGTGGAGGGGCATCCCGTTCGAGCTTGAGTACCACATTTTTCTTTTCAGTGATACTCTGTCGGATAGCCTGTAAATTAAAGGATTGAAAATTGTTTACAAAATTACTTGTAAAAATAACACCTTTTTAGCTCCAGAGACGTCGTCTTTCACTTCCTTGCCGTTAACGTCCCGCAATATGTCGCCTGGAAGGATGTACTGCGCAGCTACACTGCTTGGCTCAATGTGCGAGACGATGATATTAGATCCCTGGAATTGAAAGCTATTATTAATGACAAGCCCTCATTACTCAATCAATTACCTTCTTCTCCACAGTTATCCCAATTGGAAGATCTTCTCGCCATCTGATCTGCAGCTGGATGAAATTGTGGCTCGGGTTTCGCCTGATTTGTGTGACCTTGAGGTTGATCATTCTGAAGTAGTCGTCCCTGCGGAAACGGATGAACAATGGTTTGGGTTCAGCGCCAGAATACTGGGTTGCTGCCGTGAAGTCTTCTGCCGAGTTTATGGCCTGAAAAATGGACGTTTAAATCGAGTATTACCCTAATAATCGCAAAAGCTTACCCGTTTGTCAATCTGCAAGATCCAGTCTCCAGGGAACAACCATCCAAAGAAGTAGGAGAAGATGTCGATCTTCTGTATCCGCGGCGGCGAGCTCCCACTGAAGAACGTCAGTCCCATGTCCGAGTCTTGGATCTCGATGGTATCCTCATGCTCATGAATGTACTTCTTAGCTGAAAGAGAAAAAAAAGTTAGTTTAGGAGACAACCCTTGTATGATACATCCTCGTTTCTCGGCCATTGCACTGAGACGCCAAAGCAAGAGTGAGCAGCACAGCGACAAACCAAAAGCGGCCTTGAGTTGAATTGAGCACAGCGTTGTCGTCACGAAGTGCAGTGAGTTGTAGTGTTGGTTTATGCATTATTAAGGCGCTTTTATACTAACCTAAAATTCATAATAGAAAAATACTTCTTCATAAAATCCCCTGTTTATGCACACCCTTGAGAGTTTAAAAAATAAAAACAAACTCCTTGTTGACAGCATACTAGTTAACAAAGAAAATTTTCTTAACAACACGCTAATAACGATGGAAGAAAATTAAAAGAGGAAGAAATCTGGCTTCTTAGCCTTCATAATTCTCCAAATTTTCACAGTCTGATCTCGTTTTAATTGAGGCAAACAGAATGGGGCGAAATTGATGTCAATTCTTAATTTTTACAAAAATATTTTTCAAACTATAGAATGTTCTCTGTTACATCAATATTGGTAATATGTACATTTTTTTGAAGTATTTTAAAAATTAAAAATTAATTGGTGGTGGCCAAAAAGGGAAAAATAAATCAACAGGAAAATAGAAAAAGAATAAAACAAATTTCAAAAAAAAAATAGAAAACCCAAAGAAAAATTTTATTCATCAACCAACACAAACTAAAATATAATTTTAATAGTGACAAAAAAGAGAAAAATAATTTTATTTTTTTTAATTTTCTAAAACATTTTTTGACAATAAAAGAGTATATAATTAAATAAATTTTTTAAATAAAATTTCTTTTTCATTTGTCATCATTAATTGTTGCAAATGATGATGACATTGCTGCTGCATCGTCTCTGCAATACGTGTGGAAAGCCTGAAAAATTAATCAGAATTTAATTTAAAAAATATTGAAATTATGTGTTTTCCGGAAAATTCTGATTTTAGAATTTAAAAAATGTGTTTTGTGTTTTATGTGTTTTCCGAAAATTCTGATTTTTATTTGAAATCAGAATTTTGATTTCAAAAAGAGAATTCTGGTTTGTATTAAATATATAATTCTGATTTCTTAATTAAATACAAAAATTCTAATTTTTATTTTAAAAAATACAAAAATTATTTTCAAATCAGAATTAAAATTAATTTTTAAAAATTGTTGTTGTTGTTTTCCTTCTCACCTTTCCATCAAAAACAACAGAATCGAGAAGCCTCCAAGCATCTCCATCATCATCCCATTTCACCTCAAATCGTTCATTACATACACAACAATCCTTTAAATAAAATTTTTTGAATTTTTTATTTATAAAAAATCCCCACTTTATTTTTAATAGAGTCAACATCAACTACACACACATTGTCATTAGTGGATTGTTGACACCCTTGGGATGAGAATGTTACATCGCCTTGTAAAAGAATTTTTAAATTCAAAAAAAAATTTTTAAATTCAGAAAAAATTTTTTTTAATTACTTGCAATGTTAATTTTATTGACTTGATCATATTCAGAATATTTGAACCAATCCTAAAAATATTTTAAAAATTTTATTATATATTTATTTGTATGTATTGAAAGTTATTTTGCCCTAGTTTAATTCGTTTTTTATTTTGATTTCCGGGATTAATTTGTAAACTTAATTTTAAAATTAAAATAATTTCCAGATTAAATTTCAATTTATTTCTCAAAAATTAATTAGTACATACATATGGTGGGTCAACTAAACTATATAAGAAAAATATGCAGAATAAAGTATTTTATTCGAAAATTAAACTATTTTTAAGTGTTTAAAATGGTGCTCCTATATTTTGTCATATTTTTGACATATGTATTTTCTCCTTATTTATTTCCTATCTTTGAGGGGCTGTTCCCCATCTTGGTGTTTTGGAAAAAGGACACCGTGCTAATACATAGTATATATTTGTAATTTTTGTGGAATTGACTTTAAATTAAATACAGAAATAAACAAAGAATGCTTACATCCAACATAAACCAAGGTTGGTTTTTTGGAGTAAAATCCTTCTTAGTTTTAGGATCCTTCGTTTTTTCTTCATTTAAATGCAATTTTGCATGCTGTTGATGTTGTTCACTATAAAGTTCTTTAAATCCAATACCACAATCTTGGCAGCAATGACGTTGTTTGTGAATTGAGCCAATAACTGAATCATAACGACTAAAAAAGATTTAATTTTTTTAAAAATTCTTTCCCTCCCCCCCCCTTCCTTACATAATCAAAGAACGCATACTAAACAAATCAAAGCCAGCCGACATTGCTCTCCTTTCCAAATGTTCAAAACGATGGGCACAAGGCACTGGAGGAGAATTTGAACGACCCAAAGTTGTATTTCTTGCTTCGATAGCTGCTTGTTTTTCGTGATTTTCTTGTTCAAACTGATTAGGTTGGGAAAGGATACCCGAATTTTTTAATCGGTGGAGAAAACTGGTAACATCAAATACTTGATAAAGAAAAAATTGATATTAAAAATTGGTAAAAAAATCTTTTAATTTTTCTGAAGAAACGTAACAGGAGTAGAAGGACGTTCAGGGAGTTAAAAAGGGGGTCGGGAAAGGGGTCGGGAGCTGATTTGGTTTGGGCCATAAATGTAATCGAAAATATGAGTCATGAGCGATATAAGAAATCTCCGGATATGATGTCCGTATTTTTTCGTATCCGGATATGTCAAGCCTAACTGGCATAGTGCTCAATATTAATACCCCAAGAGGGTAAAAAAACTAATTTTCACCCTTTTTTGCTTCCGCTTTAGGCTGCTGAAGTTTGTTTATTGAGATTTGTTGAGGTATTATTTGTTGTTGTCTAATTGCAGGCATATATCTCATTAATTCGTAACTCGGTTCTGGGTCAATTCTAACTTCTGGAGGAGGGCCACAAAGACTAATTTCATGCATCTTCCCATTAATAGATGCTTTAATTGATGGACCTCCAAATGCACCTTTGAATGGAAAGTTGCCCATATAAAGTTCACGTGAAGGACCGCCAAAACGTAAAATATGGAGTTGGTCATCAATTGAAACTTGTATTGGCTCTCCAAAAGACATGCAATATGCTGTTTTATCAATTATTACATTACGAGATGGACCAGCAAACGAGACACGATGTGGGAGACCATTCCGTTCAATGACTGCTATTTGGTCGAGATAAAATACCTTTTTTAGGGGAAAAAGAAATAAACAAGACTTTTTAGGTAAAAAAATACCTCATAAGCCTTTCCATCAACAAAAATCCGATTGTTTTCTGGAACACCGGGTAAACGCGGGGTAACATTTTGGATGTTGTGTTGAATATCTAAAATATTTATTTAAAGTTATTTTTAGTTAATAATGTATTTTATTTACATCCGGAAATGCCTTTTGTATTTTAAGTAGTTTTCCGGAAAAGTAATGAATTGTATTAAAATATCACTAGAAAAAATTTGTAAACTTAAGTTTCCGGAAAAGTTTAAAGTATTTTAATGTCTGTCGTCTATATTATTTTCCGGAAATGTTTTCCGGAATAATTATTGGATACTAAAATATACTAAGCTTATTTGCAAACTTAAGTTTCCGGAAGGATTCAATTAATGTATTTTTTTATTTACTTTGAAGAGTTGGAGGAGGAAAGTTATGTTGAGGAATTCCAGTCATCGTTGTTATTTGAGGTGGAGGAATTTCTTTGATAAACGGTGGCGGTTGTTGCAAATTTGTTGGAGGGGCACTAGAAACTTGTGGAATCATTACTAATTGTGGCTGATTAGCAATAGATGTTGGTATTTGTGGTGGTGGAAAGTGTTGTTGTTGGGGTGGGTGAACTATTTGGGGTTGTAATGAAGGTGTAGGTTGAGAATTCATCACTATATTGAATGCGTGAGCACCCAGAGCCCGGGAGGGCTCGAGAACCTGAAAAAATTGTTCCGGAAGATTTAGAAAGAATTTAAAATAGATCAAAAATAATATTGAACGTAAATGTTTCCGGGGAACTGAGAAAACACTACTCTTCAACAATACTACAGACCAAACAAAACTCTTTACAAAACTGTAGACTACCCGAAGAATTATTAAGGAATTTAGAAACTAATGACAGATGTAACCTACTTCCCCAGACATATCTAAAAGCACAAACATTTTGTTTAGAAACTCGAGGTTGTTGAGGCTTGACAGACCGTTGAGTTGATTTATTACTAACATTACTGCTGCTATGTTGAGCAGTTGTTGTTGTTCTAGGACGCTTGGTTGGAGGCCCTCCTCCTTTATGTTGTGATGGTTGTTGTTGTGAAGGTTGTTGAGGTGGCTTGTTAGCTAAAAAAGAGAAGATAATCTTAATATGGAAATCCATATAAATCCCTTCCCTACTTCATATACAAACACTTCCACTAATAATTTAAAGTTTCCGGAAAAATTCTAAAATTTAAGGAAATAAAATATATGTAGGTATTTTAATATTTTACTGATCAAATTTAAACGTTTTAATCTTTCATCTTCGAAAAACAAAATTTCCGAAAAATAAAAAATATTTTTTTCTCTCAACACAAAAATAATAATTTTATTGTAACCATTAATGTCAGGCTGTATTTTCTTTTTTTCTGGTTGTTTTTCTTGTTGTTTATTTTCTTGTTTAACACCTGTTGGCTGCTTTCCATTGAGAAATTTAGGGTTAACATGTACTACATGTCCCCCTCCTCCTCCCCCTCCTTGTTGTTGTCCTGATGTTTGTTGTTGTTGTGATGACACTTCAATTTTCAAATCTGGATTCATTATAGGCCAAGCCCTATCCACAGAATTTATTTTTGTGTCGATCATGTAAAGTTTAGATTTTGAGAAAACGTCAGCCCAGGTGCAACGCAGCCGGTAAATTTTAGCTCTTGTATCTTCGTCTCCCTACAATGGGAAAACAAAAAAATGTAAATTTTATATTAAAATTAGTTTTTGATTTAATTCTTAATTTTAATTCGCAAATTGGAAAAAACAAGTTGCGTGACCACGTTGGAAAAAAGTGATCAAGAGATGGACGGTAAACTTATCAGAATGATTTATTCAGCATCATTAAATCCAGCCAATCTTGATATCTTTCGACTCATTGTCCTCAAAAAAGATTACAGGCTATTAACGCCATAGATTTCTCTTTAACTTCTTTTAAGGATAAAATAAGATTCTAAACCTTATTCCCTTAATTAACAACCTAAAAACCCTTTAAAATTTGACAGCAACTAAATATGTGGACAATAAAAATGTCACAAAAACTCGAGGACATGTTGTTCAAATCAAGAATTTCTGTGCAAAGTCGAAGAGAATTCTTTCTCCTCTCAACACGTATGGGATTTGTTGTTGCTTTTTGGGAAGAAGGAAGTTTCTTGGGTTGGGAGGAAGGAAAGGAAATAAATTTAAAACTAATGAAACTTTAAAAACAATTTTAAAAAAATTTAGAAAACAAGATAACCTTTTCAAGGTAATCTAGCATTTAAAATATTTAGAGGGGTTTTAAGTTAACAATTTAATTTTAATATGAAGAAAAACCAAAGGTTGTTTTGGAAGGTTGGTGTGCTCGTGTTGAGCTTAAAATAAGTTTGGGATCAGACTCCAACTCAAAGTTTCTCTTTTTTTCAATGAAATTATTTTGAACAAATAGGTATTATGACATTTAACCTACAAAAACCCCTTCAGTTTACCCCAAAAAGATTTTCTTTTAGGATTTTGTTTTTTAAGGGCCAAAAATAAAGGGGTCCTCTATGACCCCAAAAAACTCAACCAAACATTTCAACTCAATCCTTTTTTTAAAAAAACATTATTATCCCTACACAGGCCCACAATTTTATTCAAAATCTCAAGCCTGCAATTTTTTCATTTTTAAAAATAATTGAGATCTAACGTCAACATGAGAATAGAATTTTTAAGAGATTTTTCAAGAGACTAGAAGAGAGAAGTGAATTGTGAGAAAATAAATAAATAGTGTAAAAATAAATAAAAAAATTGTCTCAAGAGATGTCCACCTCCTTGAATACATGAACAATCATGTCAACAATCTTCTTGGCAAATAGTTTACGATAACCTCCAGTCTTTTCAATGTTCTTTACTATTGAATCAATCACGTATAACATAACAATTTTGAGTGGAACAGAACACTAAAAATTGGAAAATATAAGAAAAATTATTTTTAGTCTATTAGCATTGGACCCAACCTTCAGATCTGACGTTTTACTTATAAGTCGATTAAGTACTTTAGGATGTTATTTGAGTTATTATTACACATTATGTTTTATACAGATCTAACATAAACAGGTCCCAGAAATAAAGCCGTGAAGTTCAAGAAAAATTACGAATTTGAGTGTCCACAACATCCGGGGATCAATTAAAAATTAAAACAAACCTTGTAGAGAGATTCTTCAATAACTCCAACAATTTCACTAGAATAAGAAGCATAGTCCTCTGCCAAAATTGTAAGCAAATTAATTTGAAGTTTGTCATTCCCTTTCAGCTTAAAGAGCTCTTTCCTTAGAAATAAAAGTTTAAACTTAAATAAAAACAAAAAGAACCTGTAATCCTTAACTGCTTCACTAGGTTGAACCATAATTTTTGAAATAAAATTCAAATTAGAAAAATTTATCTGGCCTGAAAAATAAGAAAAATTAAATCAACGTTATAAAAACGAGAAAACATAATTGTTAAAATCAGCTAAGAAATGAAGAAATGTCAACGGAAAAATATTAAAATAATGTTTGTATAGGCGAAGACAGATCAATATTTTTATTAGAATACACTAAATGAAAGAAAAAAGCACTAGAGGAATGGGAAATATTAGAGTCAAAATGTGTTTAAAATTATCTAAAAATAAATTACTCAATGGAATGTAAGTAGTGACCATCACCGGACCTTCAATTCAGGCATCTTTTTTTATTTTTGATTGCCTGTCTCACACATTTTCCCTTGCTATTAATAAGTAAAATAGTACATGTTAATTTTTAAATAATAGAGAGAAATGGGGAAAATAATTTGAAAAATAAAAAGGCAGACTTTTTAACCTTTAAAAAATGCCAAAAATAAATTTATTTTATAAAAAATAATTTAATCAAAAGTCAATAAAAAATATTTAAAGATATGTAAATTGGCAATGCTTAATTAAATTAATTTTGTCCTTCCCTCATTATTATATTTATTTTAAAATAACCAAAAACTTCCTCCTTTTCTTGCTTGTAAACAAAAAATATTACTTTTGAATTGTGAATATTTGAAATTTGGTATTTTGTAAATTTAACATAAGGTATTCGATTAGTTTCAACTTCTTGTGCTCTTTTGGGCAATTTAAGATTTGAGGAATTATTAAATTCGAAAGTAATGGCAGGCACAATTTTTGAAAAGTCTTTAGATGTTGCTATATACTAAAAATTAAAAAAAAATTTAAAAAATTTTCCCAAAAACAACATACTTCAACAATATATTCATAAATCATTCTCAAATTTTTAGAATGTTCAAAATTCTCTTCTAAAAAAGTAAAAGACTTTAAATTAACTTCTTTAAAATTGTCTCTTCCATTTGTTAAAATTTTAAATAAAAAATCTTTGCATTTTTCCATAAAATCTTTGGATAAATTTAGACCAATTCTAAGAATTTCACCAAGCAAATTATTAAAAATAAATATAAATTCAATATTGTTGTCTTCAATAATTAATTCGCAAATTTTAATATAAAATTGTTTTGAAATTTTAACATTTCCAAATAAAAATTCAATCAATTTTGGATTGAAAATAAATTCAACAAAGTTTCCACGGCCAAAAGAACAATTAAATAATTTTTTAAAATAATAATAGACAATTTTGATGTCCTCTTTGTTTTTAATAATTGTTGGCAATTGTAGAAAATAAGATTCTTTAACATCGGAAACTGAAGATTTAAAAAAAAAATTTTAACATTCAGGAGAATACATGTTATTTAAAATTAAAATTTTAAATAAAAATTGGGGATAGAAAAAAGTTGGCCAATTTTGTCTATGTCGGCGGCCTAATCGAGGACAAGAATTCAATTTGGCCGCCGACATGTACATTGTAAAAAGTATTTCTGCGGACTGTCATAGACTTAAAAAATTAAACAAAAATTTTAACCTTTAATTAGGTAAAAGTCATTTTCGTCTAAATATTTACAAGTTAAATACAAAGGAATTGGGCTTTCAAAACCATCTTTCAACTAAAAAAATATAAAATTTACACGTTTAAATAATCCAATTACCTTCTCTTCCAAACATTCAGGCATTGAAAAGTTAAAATTCCCAATTTTGGGATTAATTTTTGTGGATATTCTTTTGATTGGTCAAAATATTCCTTTAAAAATATTTCTTTAAATTAAATTAAAAACCTCTTACAATAGAAATTTCATAAAATTCTTTTCGAGCAAGTTCTCCCTCAAATTTATTAATAAAATCACGAAAATATAAATTTGTTTGTTTAATTGAACATATTTGTTGATAACTGAAGAATTTAAGAATATCAATTTGTGTTTCAGTTGGAAAAGAATAAAACATTTTTTGAAGAAAAACTAAAATATTTTCAAAAAATGTTAAATTAAAATGTTTAAAAATTATTTAAAAATAAATTAACAGGGGCTTTGAACCCTTAAATATAATGAAAAATAAATTCTAATAAAAACAAAAAATAATTTAATCGAAGGTTGATGATAAAATAATAAAAAACTCGCTAGGAGAAGATAGGATTGAAAAATCGACGAGGAATTGTTTTGTCGTTATCAAATAATACATTAATCATTTCTGGATTGAATACACTTATTTTGAAACCAGCATATTCAAAAGCACAATTAAAAAGTTTTTCCAACCAGCAACGAACAATAATCATTTCTTCAATAGTTTTTGGAAAGTTTGGCAATTTTAAGATATAAAAACGGGAATTTTCAACTAAATAAAAAAATGAATTTAAATGAATTTACATTCCTAAAAATTTGCTTAATTTGTTAATAATCTAAACTTTATTATTTCATATAAAGTTTTAAACCTGACGTGCAGACATAAAAAAACTTGTTCCAATCACAAATACTTTCAAATAACGGAATTACTTTATCAATCGCTGCCTGCCACTGAAAAAATAAATTTAATTTAAAAATTTATTGAAAATTTGGTAATCCTGCAGAATCTGGGAGACACCTTAAAAACATCTTAAAAATTATTATTTTTTTCTCAAAATAATTTTATATAGGTAATCGACCATGCTGGTCATGAATCTGAGTTCAGAATTCGTTTATTTCGAACCCCGGACTCGATTTCGATCAAGTCGAAATTTGGGGTAAAAATTCGATATGAAAAATTTAGGGCTATTCTGATACGCGTATTCGAGCGGAGTCAAATGCCACCGAAATCACCACGATCCGACTCCATAGGGCCGAGTTACAGACCCCCGAAATTTGAAAATTTTTGGGGTCAAAAAATCGAAAATCCAAATAATAGCTCATTCGAAAGAACTCGACGTGCTGAGTCGAATGACATTAGAATCGGTGGTGAGACATTTGAGGACGGACACATGAGGACAGACATATGAGGACGGACATTTGAGGACGGATATATGAGGACGGACATTTGAGGACGGACATTTGAGGACGGATATATGAGGACGGACATTTGAGGACGGACATTTGAGGACGGATATATGGAAAAAATAAAAAATAACTACAAAATAAGCCAATTTTCCCGTTATTTCAATATTTGGCACTTTTTGCAAATTATTTCAATATTGTTGCAAATTTTTGCCAAAATTTTGTGAATTTTCATAAATTTTCAGAAAAAAGTGGAAAAAATTTGGCGATTGTCCTCAGAAATTTCCAAAATTTTCGCCTGCGGGGCTGAAAAGGGAAAATCCTAGCTTATTTAAAGTAAGAAAAAATGTCCCAATGAATAAACCCGAAAATGAGCAAACCCTTAAAACATCCCATATTTTGCCTAATCTCAAAATATCCAACAGAGTAAAATACTCAATTCGTCGAGCTATAAACATAATATGCCTCGAAACACCCTCTGAACATAAGCCCTCAAAATCTTCCACTGAAAAAAACTCAAAATCCACTAAGCATTCCCAGAATGTCTTATGTCCATCTGAAATTGCACAAGATAACTTTTCCTTAATTTTCTGTCCTGAAATGACGATTTTCTCTGGTTTCAACCAAAATAAAGTTTTTTTTACTAAAATTAAGTCTTTTTCATTTTATGTTACAAATAAATCATAATTTATTTCAATATTTCACTAATTTTTGGCATTTTTTGTTAAGATTTTGCCGATTTGTATATAATTTTGTATCCTCAAATGTCCGTCCTTAAATGTCCGTCCTCAAATGTCCGTCCTTAAAAGTCCGTCCTCAAAAGTCCGTCCTCAAATGTCCGTCCTCAAATGTCTGCCTGCCTTAGAATCAACTCGATTGAATGATTCTGAACAAAGTTATGACCAACGGAATCTTCGGTGGAAAAACTGAGGGCATATACTAAAGCAATCCCAAATCAAGTATATGATAAAAAATCAGAGATAAAATGTCACATTTGACAAAATCTGATATCAGATTCGTGATCAGCATGGTCGATTACCTATATTAAATTATTTTCAGAAAAAAATAATATTTTTTAAGATGTTTTTAAGGTGTCTCCCAGATTATGCAGGATTACCGAAAATTTAACCTTCTTTTTAAGTTGATCAGTTAAAGTAAATTTAAAAACTCCAGATTGAGGTGCAATAAATTTATATGAAGGAAACCATCGAAGAGAGTTAGAGTTGATCCAAAAATAATTAAAATAAAAATTATTTAATATTTACTATTCCAAGTTCGCTAAATTTCATCCGAAAGCACAATTCTCCCTCATAATTATTAATTAAATTGCAAAAATAAAAATTTGTTCGTCTAACAGAGGATAATTGGTTGAAATTAAGACATTTTAATATATCAAGTTTTGTCTCAGTTGGAAGAGATAACATCCTTAATTATCTAAAAAATCCTAAAAATAAAGATTTAAATATATATTTAATAGATTACCAAACAATATTCAAATAAAAATTTTAGTTTACTAAAAAACAATTTTTAATAAAGAAAAAATTTAAAAAAAAAAACAAAAAATCCCAACAATTATTTAACCTATTTTGAAGCAATATTTAAATAAATTTCTTTCAAATTTCCAGACATTGATTTTAATATTGGCTTCCTTCTCACTTCCTTTCCTTCTTCCCCAACAATTTTTCTTTTTCCTTCTTCAAATTCTAAAATTCTTTTTTGGACAGCCAAATCACTTTCTAATTCTTGTGCAAATTGTCTGTAATGTTTAATTATATCAAAACGCTTTAAACACATCAAATCTGCGTGCTGAAGAAATTTTCTTTTGAACCAGGGTGTTGAGCCAGTAAAGGAATCTTCGATACCGTTGACTTCGTATATGAACCAGGGCCTTAACCAAGGTGGTGGTTTGAGTTTTACCTAAAATTTTGGGGGAATGAAACAAATAAAAATAAAAATTTTTTTTCAAAATGTCGAAGTGGTAAATAAAAAATCTCTAAAAAAATTTTTCTCTATTAAACCTTCAACGGATTCACAGGAACAGGCTTTCCAACAGGATGACTAGTTGATTCCATATTAAAGCTAAAAGTGCTGTACTCTGGCAATGCGTCAACAAGGTAAGTGAGGTCCTCATCCAAACGTTTCTCTAACAAAAGCGTCTCAATTTTAAGAATTGTCGGATTGTAAATTTCGAACATTACTTCAACACCTAAAAACGTTTGAAAATGATTAAAGACGAATTAAAAGTAAAAATAAAATAAATATACAAAGAAAGGATTCGAACCCGGACCCCCCCCCCCCCCCATCATGTTCAAACTCCACTTAACCAAGAAAAACAAAAATTAACCTAATCCGTCAATCACGTTGCGCAAAGTAAAATTGTGGTGAAGACCTTCCTTTTCTCGACGAATGCAAATACCCACAAATCTGTTTTGGCGTTGCTGTAAGTTTGGGTCAGACATTGTCACAGCCATAATTGAACCTTTAAAGAAAGAAAATTTTTATTTTTAAAATTTATTTTTGGAAGACTAACCAACATAAAACTCAGGAATATCAATCCTCAATCTTCTTTCCAACATGTCCGCATGAACAAGTTTTTGAAACAAAGGATCACGGCGAGTCCAAACTTGTGAAGGAAGGAAATCCATATAAGAGAGCCTTCAAAAAGAAAATTTTTGAAAAATTTTAAAGAAAACTAACGCAAATTCCTTTACAGAAATATATTTCTCTTTAACCACAGGAGGGCGTTTACTTGATGTTTTAGAAGGCTCTTCATGTTTTTCAGTAGATTTTGTTGGAAGGTGATCTTTTTGTTTGATTTTTGAAGCAACAGAAGAAGCATAACGTCGAGTAAAACAAGTAGATATATTTGGATATGGAGAAGATAAAATACGCAACATTCCTTTAAAAAAATTTTTAAAACTAAAAATGAAAATAAGTAGAGAGCGAGCTGGATCTGGATCCAGACCTTGATTTTTCCTGAATCCTAAGTCGAGGTCAAGGCATTTTTCAGAGTTCCTTGATTTTCTTTGACTCAAGGTCATGAATCTGGTTAAGGTACCCAACCAAAATAAAGGACCAAGGTTTTTTGAAAATATCGCAAAGTAAAACTAAAAGAAAACTAAAAGAAAACTAAAAGAAAACAAAAGAAAACAAAGGGAAAAAAAGCAAAGTAAATTAGGACTCTAGTTTCAATAAAAGTCAGAGACGCAGAATTTTAGTGTATTTTAGAGAAAAAGAAGCGAAAATAGTTAAAGAAAATTAATTTAATTTTGGCATTATGTCTAAAACAAATTTAAACTTTTATAAAAAGATTTATTCAATTCCTTGATTTTTAAAAAATTTTTTAGACATTTTTAAGACATCTTCTACTTAAATTTTTAATTCTTTGCAAAAATGATTGAATCAAATTTCCATTTAAACGCCAAAGAAGCCTTAGAATTTTCTTTTAACTCCAAAGAATGGTCAAGGTTTTTTAATATTTTTTATTTAATTTTTCCAATTTATTTTCAGACTTCGTAATGTTACTTGTTCATATTTGACATTAAAAAATAAAATAAATTTATATACAAATCAACTGGAACAAGTTCTTTCTGAAGCTTCTAATTACAGAGATTATGTAAGGGAATTTTTTATTTTAATCTAAAAACGATTTTTTTAATTTTTGAATTTTCCTTCTATTAATTTCTAGACTCTATTCTATTAAGAAATTTAAATATGTGTTGGCGTCCAGATTACATTTTAGAACAAATTCAATTTGGCCTTCCAAATTGAATTTGTCCTGAAATGTAATTTGGCCGCCGACGTTTTGCATAAACTACCTAATCTTCGAATTATTTTATTTGTTTCGGGAATTTCAGAATTTTGAATATTCGATTTTTTTATAATTTCTCAAATTTTCCCACTATTTTAGGTTGTGGGCAAAATCCTCCTTTTGTCCTTGTAATACTTGGCTTTATGAGATTTTCTGACGGTCCTCCTCATCTATTTGCTTTCTTTTAATTTTTAAAATTATTATTTTTGTTTTCACATTTTTAGGCCTCCCAAATTCAAAATCTCAATGTTAAAGTATCTCTTTTAAATAAAAAAACAATTTTGCTTCGTAATTCAATCCAAACATTAAATTTTAAAATAAATTCTATCGACAAAGAAAAAGTGGCTGAAGACGAACAAAAAATATTTTTGACCTCAAAAATTGAAAATTTTGTAAATATTGAAGAAAATTTAATTATTGACAGGTTTTTAGCTTCATTTAAATTAAAATTTAATTTTTACCAGAAAACATATTTTACGACTTCGAAACCAAATAATTTTTCGACGACGTTTTTTGTTAAGAGAACTCAGCCAAATATTTTTCCCTAAAGGACGTGAATCACGTCCTGCACTAAAGAAAAATTGTTTTTGTTTAAAATTTGATTTGATTAGAAGATTGCATCTACCAAATGTTGCTGCCTGTTTTGGTATTTAAAAATTTTTTGTTGAAAAAACTTTATAATAAAATTTTAAAATGATTTTTTTAAGATTTCCTTATTAATTTTAAGATTTTTATTTACTTTAAAAAAATTTATTTCTCAATTTTTAGGTCATAATGCTTTTGAACTGTGTGCTGCTACAAGCTTTGTTGTTCACTTATTAAATTGTACAAGTTTTATTCTTTCTCATCCATTGAAGCATTTTATATTTTTTAATGGATCCCGATCATACTTACAGACGAGGAATAAACTTGAAAGGTTTGGGGACTAATTTAAAATTTTGATGTATTTTTAGTTAAAAAAGTTTCTAATTTTTATAATCAATTTGGGAATAATTTATATTCTAAAAAATATTTTTAAATCAATTTTTAGTCAGTCAACTCAATAATTTTTAAATTTATTTTTATATTTTTTTCAATTAATAATTTAAAAATTAATTTATTTTTCTAGTTTTGACTTATTTACTTCCACATCAAAAATAATTACTAACCGCGACCATTTTGATTTTGCTTTATATTTACTATGTGAAATAATTGTGCAATTACGTTCTGATTGTTTAATTAGAACATCAGAATTGGATAGACCTATTTATTTATTAAATCAATTAATTAATTCTTTTATTGGAATACACAGGTAAAAAGAAAATACAAAGAAATAAAAATCAGAATTTTGGGAAAAATACAAAGCTTTTAAATTGTAAGAATAATCAGCTAAAGAAAATACGGCTCTATTACACAATATACATCTAATCGACTTTTATGCGTCCAACCACACTTTATGCGTCCAATCAAAATAAAATTGAATTTTTCTTTTATTTTGAAGTTGAGGTTGGGTTCTTTAACATTTCTTCATGTCTGGGACCATTCCTTACCCTATCCCTCGAAATTTCTGAAAATTATAATCGATTTTCTTAGATTTTAAAAATTGACTATAACTTTCAGAAATTTCGAGGGATAGGTAAGGAACAGTCCCAGACCCAGTGGGCGTAGGTTCCGAACATGAAAAAATGTTTTGGGACCATACCCCTACTTTTCAACACCAAAAAAATCCAATTTTCTTTTTATTGGACGCATAAAGTGTGGTTGGACGCATAAAAGTCGATTGGACGTATATTGTGAATAGAGCCGAAAATATACCTTATTTGCAATGTAAATCAGAATAAATACATACAAAAAATATTATACAATATTAGAAAAAATACAAAAACAGAATTTTATTATTTTTAGTTTCTCCAATCCAGATTTTATTTTCTCCCCCTCAAAGCGCCCATCTTCTTCAATTTTTTCTCCTTCTTTATGTGTTGCAATAAATAAAGAATGTGTTTCTCCGGTTGAAAATAAAACAGACCAATCACTTCAATATCTTGCCAATTATTTATTTCCTTTGATAGCATTATCTTAAAATTTTTTTTATTTTTTAAAGTAAAAATTGAGTGATAAATTTATTTATATTTTTTTGTTATAGTTTTTAAGTAAGCGTTGATTCTCGCTTTTTTCTTAAAAATTAATTTAAAAATATTTTTAGAGTTATTTTTTTGTTTTTTTTTGTATTTAAAATTATGGGAACGCCTGATGCATTTATAAACGATGACAACTTTGGCGATGTTTCTGTTAATAATTTAGTGGAAACTTTTGATGAATCAGAAGAACAAGAAGAATTAGTGGAACCTAGATTTAGATATAAACGAGTGCTTGGAGATTTAATCAGGGTAAATTTTTTTAAATTAGAAAATTAGGTGTAAATTAAATTAAAAAATAAAACAAGTGAAATACAAAAATCAGAATAAAAATTATTATCGCATTTTATTTCTGATATTTGTATTTTTCTGGTTTCTCTTGTAAATTCATCACTAAATTCAAAGTGAAAAGAACAGTCTAAATTACATTTATTAAATATGATTGACGACTTTTGCAAAAATTTTCAGTGTCCGGAACCGAACCAAGAAATCCTCGGTTCCGAACTGACAACCCTAAAAATAAATAAAATAAAAATAAAAAAAAATTTATTTTTTATTATAGCTATTAGAAAATGACCCAGCTTCGTGTTTCACTATTCACGAAAAATTAATGGTTGTTGGATTCCAGTCAGGGCGTGTTTGCATTTTTGATCATTTGGTAAGTCTAATTACACAAGAAATATAGTAGAGATGTGCGAGACTCTTGGTCTTGGTCTTGGAACCAAGACTTTTCTTGGTTTTTTTTCGGTCTTGGTCTTGGTCTTGGGGTGTTTGTCTTGGTCTTGTCTTGGTTTTATTTTTTGGTCTTGGTTTTTTGGCCTTTTTGGACCTAGTGCTTGGCCATCCAAAATCCTCAAAATTTTCGCCTGCGGCGCAGAAAATGGAAGAAATCTGGCTTCTTGAGCTCCAAAATTTTCAAAATTTTTGCCTGCGGCGCTGAAAATGTGAATTTTTTTGGCCTACGGCCTTCCAAAATTTTCAAAATTTTTGCCTGCGGCGCAGGAAAAGGAAGATTTTTGGCTTCTTTGCTTTCATAATTCCCAAAATTTTCGCCTGCGGCGCTAAATCCCACGGCTATCCCTCTTAATCTTTTGATATCACTAATATCCCGTTAATCCACCCAAACCCTCTGGAATAATAACCTATTTTATTGATTTTCCACAGAATAAATTCCCCGAAATTCTTTGAATTTCGCATAAATTTTTCGAAATTATAGATAATTGTGCTGAAGTTGACTGTGATCGTATCAAAATAACAAAAAATAAACCAAAAATTTGACCTATGGGACCTAAAAATTGTCTCGAGTTTTGTATTATTTTTGGTCTTGAGTCTTGGAGTTTTGGTCTTGATCTTGTGTCTTGGTCTTGGAAAAAATTTTGTCTTGGGTCTTGAGTCTTGGAAAAATTTCGGTCTCGCACATCTCTAAAATATAGACTTACAAGAGAACAAATGTCGGATCTGCAAAAGGTCTTGGGTAGTACATTGCCCTATGTATCTTAGAAAATTACAAATTTCCGAAAAAAAAACAATTTCCGGAAAAACATGTAAATCAACATTTTATCCACTCCATTTTGTTCCGCCTATTTTTTAACAAATGTATAGCTGCTTTATGAAATTCTATTATTTTCTCTTTCACTTCCTCTTCTTTTGACATTTTAAGAGATTTAACAATGTTGTCGAACTCATATCTTCTATTGATGAGATTATATCCTAACCGTGTAGATAGAATCAAAGAGCCTTCTAAGAAATCTTGGTTTTAGAAATTTCTAAGAAAACTTATTCAAAAACACATAACTTTATTTTTTAACTTTTATTTTTTCAGGGGAATGTAAATATTGATTCTGTTTGTTTTTTTTATATTCTTTAAATAATTTTAAATTTTTCTAAAGTGTTGTCGTTATCATAAATGTGCTGTTTCCTCAATTTCAATAGATGATGCCGCTAATTATATTGTTACATGTGCAAATGATTTTAGTATTGTTATTTATGGTATTGGTTGTTCTGAATATAATCAGGTTTTTTATTCATAAGCTTCAAAAAGAATTTTTTGAGTTATTTTTCGGCTTCTAAAATTTCTTGTTATTAAAAATTTTTCTGCTTCATAAAATATTTTTTC